CTCAGGGCTCAGATCTTGTTAGGAAATGGAGCAGTAGCTAACTTAAAAAGTAAGGAGGTACCAACAGTTGTGGTAAGCACAAAAGCATCCAAGGTTTCAAAATTCTCCTGAAGTGGGGAGAGAAATTCAAGATGAGATGCAACCCCAAAAGCCAAGTTCCCTCCTGAACAGGCATCGTGAGTCCCAGGAACTGGGAAACCTGAGGTGACCTGGGAAGACACAATGCCAACTGCAATAGCACAAGGGGATAATAACAGGCAGCTGAAAAAAAGGATGCCACACACAAAAAGTTACTTAAAAGGCTAAAAGGGGTGTCATGAACACCAAAATGCAACGGACGTAAACTACCTGTAGATAAGTCCAGATGTACACACAGCCCACCCACTTGTAGAAGTTGGTGGTGCATCTTCAAGCAGAAGACTGGTCAGAGGGGTGAGCAGACAACTCTGGCTTTCAGCCCTACAAAAGGAAAAGGATGAGATTCCTCAGACCCTTCCACAGATATCCTGTGTTGATGCAGGAGTACAGTCTGGCCACCCATGACATTGATAATGATAGTGTCAAGGGCAGGTCTGATAAAGAGGACTACCTCAAAGGGTAGGTAAAAGCAGATGTTCCGTGGATGGTTCATCAACATCCCATGCATGCAGGAAGACAGACATCAGTCCAATGCGAAACACAAGTTTTGAGACTCGTTACATGCTGTCACAACTAAAGCACAGGGCTCCAGACATTTGTTCTATCCAGATAGATCAAAGTCCCCCACAAACACATGGAGGGCCAAATCAGTTAATTCAAACTAGGATCTAAGGAGCAAGCTCAATTGTCTGTCGGTGAAGTTCCGAAAGGTGAGCAAACCATGAACCCTTCTGGTGGTTTTACTGTTAATGTGGATCACTGGCCACAGATCACCTGTTTACAAATTCCTAAAGGGGAAATGCTCCACCACACTTTTAGGTGGGGCCCAGGACCCTTTAGGCCATTTCCATTCCGCATAGAGGAATACCATAATTACCGGGTAAACCTGGGGTCATCCATGGCAATAGAAATGCCCTCTGTATGTCTTTGGGAAGACAGTTTGCAATGCGTAGAGCTAAGCAACAAGGCACAATGTGATGTACAGCCACAAGTAATCACAAAACTCTGGTAGCTGGCTGAGGGTTTCAGGCGGCCAGAGAGGACCAAATCACTATAGACGGGTAGTGGAACAGGACTAGAAACTGGAGACCCAATTTGGTGCATCAACTGCAGGAGCAGCAGTGGGAAAGTGTTTCCTCTAGGTTAAATAGCAGAAAAGGGAGTGCACACGTAATACTTCATCTGGTTGATTACGTCAGTGCCTGCCACTGCCGGGTTTTACCATGAAAAAGATTTAACCTGAGGGATTGAACATTAACAAAAGTTGGCTAACAATGCAAATGTTCCTGGTGGTTCAGACTAACTGGTCTTACTGATTTAGGGCTTGTTCTTGCATGCATCACCTCTCCATCTGAGGTGAATTGCTTTTCAGAGGGTGTTTGATAGGCAGTGAGGACACCTCCTCACCGCCTCTTTTAACCCTTAAAATGCGACCTTGTCTCAACAACATGTATTGCACTCCTTTTGCAGTGCAACTCCATTTATTTAAATAGGTTGGATTTGGTAGCTAATAGCAACAAGGGGCTGTATGTTCTTGTTTAGATGGGTGGTCATAGAGCGACAAGAATGCTGCCGCACATCTCAACAAGCCCTAAGTGAGTTTTCAGAGACAGTGTCAGCTCTAGGCCTGCAAAGCGCTATGTAATTTATTAACTACACCTAGCTCCTGGAAATGTCACAATGCAGGAGTCCAATGCCCGACGCGCACGTTCCAGGCTAGCCCCAAATGTCCAAAGCTACAAAGAGACCACCTCAAGCAGCAATGTACAGATCTTACCTACAGTCACAGAATAAAAATGTTCAGGTTGAGGCTGGCAAAAAATAGTTAGAATTTTGTTTCAGCAGAGCTGGAGAAATGATGTCCAAATCCTATAGGACACTAGCAAAAAACTAAGGCATACTCAGTAGAGGACAAGTTATACAGGGGCTGGTTTATAGCTTTTCTGTTTGCAGGTGTCCCAACCTCCTGTGGTCACAGTATAACCCAACTGTTTCTAAATACCTGTGTCCCTCAATGGATGATGGAGAAAAGATCTGAAACTGCTAAAATATCGGATTCCCTGTATGTCAGAATTAAGTAGTGTGGAAGATGAAGTATCGGATTCCCTCTATGTTGGACTCATGTAGTGTGGAGATGTGTAATTGGGTTACCTGTATGTTGGACTCATGTAGTGTGGAGATGTGTAATTGGGTTACCTGTATGTTGGACTCATGTAGTGTGGAGATGTGTAATTGGGTTACCTGTATGTTGGACTCATGTAGTGTGGAGATGTGTAATTGGGTTACCTGTATGTTGGACTCATGTAGTGTGGAGATGTGTAATTGGGTTACCTGTATGTTGGACTCATGTAGTATGGAGATGTGTAATTGGGTTACCTGTATGTTGGACTCATGTAACGTGGAGATGTGTAATTGGGTTACCTGTATGTTGGACTCATGTAACGTGGAGATGTGTAATTGGGTTACCTGTATGTTGGACTCATGTAACGTGGAGATGTGTAATTGGGTTACCTGTATGTTGGACTCATGTAGTGTGGAGATGTGTAATTGGGTTACTGTATGTTGGACTCATGTAGTCTGGAGATGTGTAATTGGGTTACCTGTATGTTGGACTCATGCAACGTGGAGATGTGTAATTGGGTTACCTGTATGTTGGACTCATGTAACGTGGAGATGTGTAATTGGGTTACCTGATGTTGGACTCATGTAGTGTGGAGATGTGGAATTGGGTTACCTGTATGTTGGACTCATGTAGTGTGGAGATGTGGAATTGGGTTACCTGTATGTTGGACTCATGTAGTGTGGAGATGTGTAATTGGGTTACCTGTATGTTGGACTCATGTAGTGTGGAGATGTGTAATTGGGTTACCTGTATGTTGGACTCATGTAGTGTGGAGATGTGGAATTGGGTTACCTGTATGTGGACTCATTTAGTGTGGAGATGTGTAATTGGGTTACCTGTATGTTGGACTCATTAGTGTGGAGATGTGTAATTGGGTTACCTGTATGTTGGACTCATTTAGTGTGGAGATGTGTAATTGGGTTACCTGTATGTTGGACTCATTTGTGTGGAGATGTGTAATTGGGTTACCTGTATGTTGGACTCATGTAGTGTGGAGATGTGTAATTGGGTTACCTGTATGTTGGACTCATGTAGTGTGGAGATGTGTAATTGGGTTACCTGTATGTTGGACTCATGTAGTGTGGAGATGTGGAATTGGGTTACCTGTATGTTGGACTCATTTAGTGTGGAGATGTGTAATTGGGTTACCTGTATGTTGGACTCATTTAGTGTGGAGATGTGTAATTGGGTTACCTGTATGTTGGACTCATGTAGTGTGGAGATGTGTAATTGGGTTACCTGTATGTTGGACTCATGTAGTGTGGAGATGTGTAATTGGGTTACCTGTATGTTGGACTCATGTAGTGTGGAGATGTGGAATTGGGTTACCTGTATGTTGGACTCATGTAGTGTGGAGATGTGTAATTGGGTTACCTGTATGTTGGACTCATGTAGTGTGGAGATGTGTAATTGGGTTACCTGTATGTTGGACTCATGTAGTGTGAATGATAGAGATGTGTTCAGCATTTCCCAATGCAGCTCTGCAGTCTTATGTTTTATCCATCACAGTGTATACTAACTAACCATGCAATGCAACTAAATACAGGACTATAGGGGATGATATAGTGAGGGGCATTACGGACCTATGTAGTGCAGTTATGCAGCATGGGGCTAAGTGGTCCGTTGCTGCACAGCACAATCATGTAGTGTACATTATATGAGATCCATGCAGTGCAATATACAGCAGAATAATGCAGCACAATGTATAGTGGAAAGTAAATATATCCTTATATGCAAAAATCCCTCTCTGGGAGCAGAAGAGGTTTCTGGGTAAATGCCATATTTGGCTGCCATTGCAGGGGATCGTCCAATTTTTCAGATCTCACAGCAGTGTGTTGCAGGCTGTCTCCATATTTCATCACATAAATAGAAAGGAACATTAACATTTTCATGTAGAGAATGCAGTAAATGACACACAGAAAAATCCTGAATATCTGTCCCATCTATGGAACCCTCCGGTGCCACTCACTCAGCAGAATGACATGATGTGATTAGGGTAACTGACCCCTCAACCCCATGACACATGATGAGAGACGCCATTCACCAGAAAAAAGGGTCTCCCGTGTAAAATGACATTTCAGCCCTTTACTTTCATCAATAAAGATTCAGAGAGCGACTAATAAGCCAAATTCACAAATGTCAGATCGGACAGAAATACTAATAGTGACCATCAGCAATCCAGATATAGAAGACTGACCCAGCCAGGTGACAGAAGGATCTTATTGGCTATTGTGCATTGCATTCTGGGAAATTCTGCATGCCATCCATTCACTCCTCCCCACCTGATAATATGTCTACCGCTTTAGTAACTTCTCTGGGGCCCAATGGAAAATTCCCTCACATCACTCAGGATTGGTGGCAGATTGGACTAACCTGTTCAGCCGGACAATATTGAGCCTCCATTAATATTACGTCAGATCTAGCAGAGTATTTGTGAATCTGCCCATGGGTATAATGAACACAGACCCAGAAACTGAGATGAGGCCAATGTGATGGCGACAAGTCGTCACAACAAATCAAATCACCACACTTGGTGCTTCCAGACACACAGCCGATACCAGAGAAAAGTCGGTGCCGGGTGTCAAAAGGTGCAGTGCAGGTAGGTGTGCTGTACATTGTGCATGTGCGGTGACAGGCCCCAGGCGTCGCACGGTTCAGGCACCAGGTGAAAGGGGTGATGTCACCTTCCTGAGGTGGACAAGGAGGAAGTAGACAGAATTTCCGACGTTTATTGTCCTTACTAGCAATTAGAACTGTCCTCATCCTTCCCCCGTGGGTTGGCCAGTTGTTCACCATTAACATGGCTGGTGACACCGTCTTCTGCAGCCCTCAGTGCAATCCCCCAATGCATTTCCTGTAGTGTCGGCCTTTTCTATAGAGCTACGCAGGGCTTCCGCAGACCTGAAAACAGAGATAAATCTTAGTAAGTCCAATTCAGCAGTTCTGTGCTATTTTCTGTAATGTGAATGAGGCAGAAAACACAAGACCACTGTACGGTAAATTCATCACATTTATTAAAGTGATTGTAAACCCAGCGAGGTGACTGGCCTCAGGTGATACGCAGAGATGAAACAAATCCCCCTACATAAGTTGTACCTGTCTATCTGCAGTCTTCTCTTCTCTACATCCTTTCAAAGTGCTGAATTTGTAAAGCTTGTCTGCGAGTTCAGAAAAAGGGGGCGGAGAGCTGAAATTAGGCACTGTAGTAAGAGGAGCTCTGAAAGCTGATTGGAGGGAAGAGACCCCCCCCCAGCACACAGGAACAGAGCTAAGGCTGTCAATCTGCTGGAGCTCCCTCCCCTGTCACCATTTTGCTCTTGGCGTCAGGAAAAGTTGTCAGAAGTGACTCATGCTGACAGCAGAGGAAGGAAGCAGGCAGACAGAAAGGACACTTAGTGCTCTTAACTGAGACAAGTACACATTATAACGGGATATGCTTTGTTCATATTTCATGCCTGAGGTTTCCAACCACTTTAACCAACTTATATACCTATCTGCACTATCAACAGATCTAAAATCTGCAACAAGATTACATCCCTGCACAAGAGGCAAAAGGCAGATGCACATTCCTTCTTTATATCACCACAACACACACACCATAATGGAAACCTATGTGCTACTATTTCCATTTCAGTTATAAAGATTCATACATTTGTACTGTTATACATATTTATAGCTCTGACATATACTGCAGTGTTGTACAGAGAACACTGAACCAGTAACATCAGTCTCTGCACCAGAGGAGCTTACACGCTAATGTCCCCCCCGCAGTCACACAATATTATTATAGATTTATATAGCTCTGACATATTCCGTGGTGCTGTACAGAGAACACTGAAACATTAACTGTAGATCAGTCTGTGCACCAGAGGAGCTTACACTCTAATGTCTGTGGGTTTGGATTGTATGCACACAGAGGAGCTCTCGGATGATATCTGCACATTGTATACATTATGTATGAAGTTATATCTCTCTTATATAATGCCAGGCCTTCCACTTACAATATTGGCACTTTACATCTGCACAAAGTTTATATTTTTTTTTTCTTCCTGCAATTTCTCCTGAGTGTATTCTGTGCAATCTTCTCAGATGAAATAAATTCTGTGCTGCACAGAAAAAAAGTCTTTTTAGTGTTGTATTTCCAGAACAAAATGGTGGTAGAAGAAAACAACAAAAGCCGCTTTTCCTGGTACTTTGGGAGGTTGATGATCTTTGAAGCCTCCCCAGCCAGACTATTTAACAAGTCTCCTGAATCGGCGTGCAATTGTATGACGGGCGCGCGGTCGGGGGCTTGCATTAGCACGTGGCAACGATCCAAAAACGGATGCCCGGCCTAAACAATCTGAACTCTGTTTCATTTGCAATAAAAATGGACAAAAACTGCAAATCATATTCACCACCTTCAAGGAGAGAAAAATGAAAAAAATTTACATCTGTCAGAGGAAAGCGGCGTGCTGAGGAGGCAGAAAGGAGGAACGCAGCAGAGACGTCAGCGCCTTTCAATGGAGGGAACGCGGCCAAATCCTCTGGAGTCTTTGTGTTCAACCCCGAGGACATCTGAGAAAATGCAATTCATTCCGCGGTGCCTTTTGTCAGTGGCCCGGAGGAGGATTTTACACAATTCCCTCAAAATGGAGCATTTTCCCCTCTTAGTTAACTGAGACAAACAAATGAATTTCACTTCTAAGTAACTCGTTACGAAAACGAGGCAAGAAATTTGTAACACCAGAGACGCTTCGTTTTAGTGAAAATGTGATGCTTCGGGTGCGTAAACCGACTCGATAAATGGCAAGGTGATGAGCAATCGCTTGACAGGACCTTTACCAGACACATTGTATAGATACAAGGTGTTATAGTGTCACTGTATCATCTATACATTGTTACAGTCAAAGTTCTGACACATCAGCCATCACAGATACCTCCCTACCACCGGACTGTTAACAAAAAAAACCCCAGTGGGGAGGTGGATGTCTATTTTTGGAGTGCAGTTTATAAACACTTCAGAAATAACCTGGTGCAGGCCAGTGCTCACCCAAATAGCTGTGTACTGAGCTGTCGTCGGACTCCTTGGTCTGAGCAGCTCTGCACCGTTTTGCTGTGATGACCAATCACAGCGACCAAAATATGTAAACAGTACTACTGTTTACATTTAAGAGCCCACCCCTTCCTTTGATGATGGAGGAAGAGGAAGGAGGAACATATTAATAAAGAATCATTCATTAGTACCAGAGCAAAAAAAGCATTCAATTGAGGGGGGGGTAAATTGATTGTGGATTTTCTTTAATCTTTCCCCCCCCCTCCTCATCTCAGCTGCATTGTGTGTCTAGTGACCTGTCTTATTAAACCCCTCACCTCCCTTATCCTGCACATTTCAACATTAACCCTCTTGCTCCCTCTGGGTATGATTTGTACATTACAGCTTGCCATACATGGCTCAGTTTGTTTTGTTCACACGGCTGGCTGAATGAAAAAAAACAAACGATCGATGTGGATGGGGAAATCCTTTCTGCTGTATCATTACATTCTTACAGCAAGGAGGCTCACTCACCTTCAGAATACACAGATCAGCGATGCAGCTGATTGGCTGCATGTGCTGAATGAAGCAAAAATATACCAACAAGCCTGTTCATGAAGAGTCGATTGATAAATCGACTTCTCATGAACAGGAATGGCCATACATGGATTGAAATATGTCCTGTTCCTGCTGGACTGGTTGAATTTTGATCCATGAATGGCCAAGCTTAACGAGTGACCACGTATTCCTATGGAAGCTTTACACTGATCCTTTTCAGGTCCGTGTGTTTTTTTTAAAAATCCTACTTGCTGCATTTCTGGTGCAGGTTTGGTGCAATAAAAGAACTGCACCAAAAATGTACCTTCCTATTGAAATCAATGGAAAACAAGGCAAAAACTCATAACAAATGCACCCGTGTTGCGGGTTTGATGAGGTTTTTGAAGTCACGTGTCCTGTAAAAAACACACTTAAATGCAGTAAAAAACGTGGCAAGAACACATGCGTTTTTTTGCTGCATTTTTGCTACAGATCCGTGTGAAAAGGGAACTGTTTTTTTTTTTTTTTTTTTTTTTGGACTTTTTCCACTTTTTTCCTATAAAAAGAAGGGTTGATTAAATACCATAAAAAACTCGCCTTATATATGACTGAGCAATAGGCTACAGTGCAGTAATGCATACCATCCAATAACAGTAAACTTTCCAGGTTCGGGGATGGGGGGGGGGGGGGGGTTCATTTACTCCCCATTACCAGTCACAGCACTGTCACAGTCGTCACCTTATGTAAGCAGGTCTGAGCAGCTACAAGTTCTAGCTATCTGCAGGTTGGGTAAACTACAAGTTCCAGCCAGTCCAAGCTAGCTCTGATAGATCTGAGGGACGAGTCCTAGCTAGCTCTGATAGATCTGAGGGACGAGTCCTAGCTAGCTCTGATAGATCTGAGGGACGAGTCCTAGCTAGCTCTGATAGATCTGAGGGACGAGTCCTAGCTAGCTCTGATAGATCTGAGGGACGAGTCCAAGCTAGCTCTGATAGATCTGAGGGACGAGTCCTAGCTAGCTCTGATAGATCTGAGGGACGAGTCCTAGCTAGCTCTGATAGATCTGAGGGACGAGTCCTAGCTAGCTCTGATAGATCTGAGGGACGAGTCCTAGCTAGCTCTGATAGATCTGAGGGACGAGTCCTAGCTAGCTCTGATAGATCTGAGGGACGAGTCCTAGCTAGCTCTGATAGATCTGAGGGACGAGTCCTAGCTAGCTCTGATAGATCTGAGGGACGAGTCCTAGCTAGCTCTGATAGATCTGAGGGACGAGTCCTAGCTAGCTCTGATAGATCTGAGCTGGAGGGACGAGTCCAAGCTAGCTCTGATAGATCTGAGGGACGAGTCCTAGCTAGCTCTGATAGATCTTGAGGGACGAGTCCAAGCTAGCTCTGATAGATCTGAGGGACGAGTCCTAGCTAGCTCTGATAGATCTGAGGGACGAGTCCTAGCTAGCTCTGATAGATCTGAGGGACGAGTCCTAGCTAGCTCTGATAGATCTGAGGGACGAGTCCTAGCTAGCTCTGATAGATCTGAGGGACGAGTCCTAGCTAGCTCTGATAGATCTGAGGGACGAGTCCTAGCTAGCTCTGATAGATCTGAGGGACGAGTCCTAGCTAGCTCTGATAGATCTGAGGGACGAGTCCTAGCTAGCTCTGATAGATCTGAGGGACGAGTCCTAGCTAGCTCTGATAGATCTGAGGGACGAGTCCTAGCTAGCTCTGATAGATCTGAGGGACGAGTCCTAGCTAGCTCTGATAGATCTGAGGGACAAATCCTAGCTAGCTCTGATAGATCTGAGGGACGAGTCCTAGCTAGCTCTGATAGATCTGAGGGACGAGTCCTAGCTAGCTCTGATAGATCTGAGGGACAAGTCCTAGCTAGCTCTGATAGATCTGAGGGACGAGTCCTAGCTAGCTCTGATAGATATGAAGTCCCAGGCTGCTCTGCCAAGTCTATGGAACTACGAATCTCAGCTGGCTGTGGCCTTCTAACACCTTCCAGTGACTTTTCCAACATCTCTTTGTTGCAGAGGAAGGATTTTCCTTTTATTTACATTTTGTCATCTTAGCTTCATGTGATAACCTACACCACCAGCCCCCAAACAGCTCTCTTTAAAGGATATCCCTTCTCCCCCCAAACAGCTCCCTTTACAAGCCACTTATTGAGTTTGTGCAGTGCAGACAGATTGAGCGCGGCGCCGCCTTTCATCGTCCTAACAACCGTGACAGTCAGCAGAACGATGCTTTTCACGCCAATTCAGTACGGATCCGGCAGACCTTGGTTTGACAGCTCTTTCCCGATCCTTTTCTTCCGCAGCACGATTCAACTTTCTGCGTTTTCCTTTTCTCTGCCTTGTTCGCATTATTAAGCAGAACAAAAAAAAAAACCCACAAAAGGTGATCGGAGGTGCGGCATTGCTGTGTGAAGGTTATCGCTTTTCACAGACACAAAACCCAGAGAGTTCTGGAAGGTAACAAGGATCCCCCCCCCCCTCTCCAGAATCCATCAACAAAGCCAAAGGCAGACTGTGGGGGGAAGGGGGTGCCCAGGGAGAACTGCCTGAAGTATATAGATAGGACCTGAATGTGAAAGCAAGGTCACAGTGTTGTGGAGCAGATGGGGACAAGCCAGGAGTTATAGGTTTATGCTGCTTCCATTGCTGAGTAATCGGTGGTGGGAACTGGCAGTTCTGCCACCTTCTATGTCAGTCCTAATGGAAGTCCTACACCTTTATTCCCCTTATAGTCCTGTACAACTACACATCCAAACGCTCTATTTCTGAAGACCAATTCTGACATTCACAGCAGTCCCCATTATCAGGGAACTCTATGACAGACAGACCCACAGCAGTCCCTATTATCAGGGAGTTCTAGGATGGACGGACTAACAGAAGTCCCCATTATCAGGGAGCTCTATGGGAGATTGACCTACAGCAGTCCCCATTATTAGGGAGCTCTATGGGAGATTGACCTACAGCAGTCCCCATTATTAGGGAGCTCTATGGGAGATTGACCTACAGCAGTCCCCATTATTAGGGAGCTAAATTATGGGAGATTGACCTACAGCAGTCCCCATTATTAGGGAGCAAATTACAGATTGACCTACAGCAGTCCCTATTATTAGGAAGCAATATGACAGATTGACCTACAGCAGTCCCCATTATTAGGGAGCTCTATGGGACATTGACCTACAGCAGTCCCCATTATTAGGAAAATCTATGACAGGTGGACGCACAGCAGTCTCCATTATCAGGGAGCTCCATTGCAGACAGACCGCCAATAATTGGGGAGCTCTATAACAGATCGACCACAGCTCTCCCCATTTTCCAGAAGCTCCACTACAGACAGGCCCACAGCATTCCTCATTATCAGAGAGCTCTATGACAGATGGACTAACAACAGTCCCCATTCTTAAGGATCTCAGTCAGAGATGGATCCACAGCAGCTCATTGGTGGTTTCCGCTTTCTACCTTCTGTTGGTACCGTCCTATCACGTATTGCTGTGTAATGCTAGAGACCATAGGGCCATCACACTTTTAAGAAGGTCTAGAATATTGATTTTTGGAGATTTTGTATAGGGCTAGGAAAGATCTGGGTTTTGAAAATGGCCGTGCGCTTTGCTCTTCATGTAATATTTCTTCCAAAACAGACAGAATTTTAGCATCTTCCTTCCCTACAGGGACAACAGAAGATACTATCCAAAGAGAGAGGCCACAGCAGGATGGCAGGATCATAAATCCTTTTTCATAGGAGGGCAACTGGAGAGGGAATTCTCCACAAAGGGTCAGTCTTTTTCTTTTCTTTTTTATCTTTCAACCCTCATTGGGAAGAGGCAGAGGACCCCCATAAAGGAATAGGTAAAGGGCCCCCATACGAAAGGCTTATATGAGGGGGGTGTCAGAGGATCCCTGTGAAGGAAATGGGGCATAGGACACCCAAAAAGGAGAAGATTATAGGAGGAAGTGGACCCCCCATACATAGGCAGCAGAGGTGTCTCATATAGGAGGACTCCTACACAGGAAGGGGAGCCCCCCCATACATGAGGCAACAGTGGTGTCTCATATAGGAGGACTCCTATACAGGAGGTGGAGGCTCCCCATACATAGGCAGCAGAGGTGTCTCATATAGGAGGACTCCTATACAGGAGGTGGAGGCCGCCATACCTGAGGCAGCAGTGGTGTCTCATATAGGAGGCCTGCTTTACAGGAGGAGGTGGAGGACCCCTGCACAGGAGGCAGCACAAAAAAAAACTCTTGTTTTGACTCCAGCCAGGAAAACAGGAAATTAGATTTAATGAAGCATGATTGTAACATTGTTTGAGGTGCTCCTTTCCTGAAATGCACACTGGGGGGGCCTGAAGTAATAATATGTCTGCCCTGTCTGTACACATGGGGATCATCCACTATATAATTTGGCACAGCCTGACATTCAATACATCTAAGATTTCAGTTGTTCTCTCAGCATCTACTATTCTGGTTGGAGGTCAAGGCTGGGATTCACAAAGGTGACATGTGCTGGAGTCACTTACTGCGATGTCTGCTTTATGTGGATAGGTTTGTCGGCACCCTCCATCTGTGATCTCGGGTGTCCACACCGCGTCTCGGATTCAGCATTTCTGCCCTTCTGGCGTAGGGGCAAGCTGGTCCCAGAGCCCAGGACTGGCATTGACTTTGATTCTGTGGACGTCAGGGTTCCTGCTGACAGAGGAACAAAAAAAACAAAAAACAAACCCTTACCAGTTTCATTCAACCAAACAGGTATAAATTCAGCATCTTCAGCGGCGTACAATATACATATAAAAGATGGCTGCCATCTCTCCTTGGTAAATGCCATTTTTACACGGCATGCCTTTATATGATGTGTGCAGCGCTAATTAGTATCTAATAGAACCGTAATACAATATATACTCAATCCCCAAAATAAATCCAAGATACTCAATACATATACAGTGTCATGCATGTATTCCCTCATGGGGAATATCTCGTGCAAAAATGTGAAAATAAAGTAATATATACTATAATAACATATATACTAATAATAAACAGTGCCACTCAAAAAGTGCACAAAGGAATAAACGATAATTCAAATACGAGAAAAGTCCAAAGTTAATAATAATAATACTGATGATGCTGTGCTTAATGATGAACTTCACACTCCACTCTTCATGCAAAATTATGTGCAGTGTACGTGATGCACACGTGACAATCCTTAACAGCCAAAATGCCCCCTCACCTCCTTCCTTAGACCCCAAGGGGCCAGCACGCTTTCAGGATCACACGATCCTATCAGTATGGATCACTCTCTAGAAAATATCTTCCTCCTCCAGCGTCCACCAGTTTAGCAGCCAGCTCCTCCCAGGGTCATAGTAAGACACAAGCAGAGACCCTCCACAGTGCAACCAGTAATTTTATTGGTAATAGGTATAAAAAAGTAGATTTCCACTCACAAAACGATGAATCTTCCATCTTCCACTGCCTACACAGGGTGTTCCAGGGACCCTGATGAAGTCACGAAGTGGGCGTGACGCAACTAGTCGGTACGTGGGGAGGAGCTTCCGGTAATCGCGGTGACGTCATTTCCGGCGTGGGGGCCATATTGGAACACCCTGTGTATTACCCATGCAGTACACCCATAGCATGTGGTAGGAGGCTGGAAGATTCATCGTTTTGTGAGTGGAAATCTACTTTTTATACCTATTACCAATAAAATTACTGGTTGCACTGTGGAGGGTCTCTGCTTGTGTCTTACTATGACCCTGGGAGGAGCTGGCTGCTAAACTGGTGGACGCTGGAGGAGGAAGATATTTTCTAGAGAGTGATCCATACTGATAGGATCGTGTGATCCTGAAAGCGTGCTGGCCCCTTGGGGTCTAAGGAAGGAGGTGAGGGGGCATTTTGGCTGTTAAGGATTGTCACGTGTGCATCACGTACACTGCACATAATTTTGCATGAAGAGTGGAGTGTGAAGTTCATCATTAAGCACAGCATCATCAGTATTATTATTATTAACTTTGGACTTTTCTCGTATTTGAACTATCGTTTATTCCTTTGTGCACTTTTTGTGTGGCACTGTTTATTATTAGTATATATGTTATTATAGTATATATTACTTTATTTTCACATTTTTGCACGAGATATTCCCCATGAGGGAATACATGCATGACACTGTATATGTATTGAGTATCTTGGATTTATTTTGGGGATTGAGTATATATTGTATTACGGTTCTATTAGATACTAATTAGCGCTGCACTCATAATTTTTGCACTGTTTATTCACTTATTTTGGGTATAAGCTTAGTGTCAGCAGCTTATGGTTATAGGGTAGGAGTCCTTGTGAGCGCAGGAGGTTTTTTGTAATTATGCCTTTATATGAACTCTCCACCAAAAGTGCAAAAACAAAAAAAAACTGGCAGTTCTGCACTTTGGAAATGGCGCATATACGGTTTCAGTCATTTCAGTCACTGACCCTGAAGCAATGCACCAAGCCAACTTCCAGTAGTCTGGATACTGGTTTACAGCATGGCCCCAGTGGATCCTGACCCACACAGTATTGTTTCCCCCCTATGACCCTCATCAGTGCAGGAGAGGTGGCTCAGGTCAGCAATACATGAGTGACTTCTCTGGCATACAAGGGGTGGTAAGGCAGACTTCAGGTAATGCTGTCTGGGAAGGAGATGCAGGTGGGAGAAGTAATTTCTGAACCAGCAAATCCACACTAATGAGACTACACGGGAGGAAACAGATCTGTGCACTGCTCAAGGTTCTGGTCCAGCAAAGTGTATGGGCTGTTGTACATATTCAGCATATGGGGCACTCTGATAGGCTGCTATGACATAATGGCATTTACCCCAGAAGTTCTTTCTGCATCTAGGGAGGTTTAGGTGGAACTGGATAGGTGCAGTTGTGAAATTCCCAGACATCCATCACACTGCCAGACAATGAACATTCTCCTCAGATGGGTGCAGGAAAATACGGCCGCCCACTTACCGGATGCGTCTTGATCTGTTGTCACTTTGCGGCGCCGCAGAATCCTCTGAAGTTCTGTTTCGGTGGAGGCTGTGCTGATGGTGCCATGTCTCTTCTGACTGGTTGAAGAGCCCAGGGTATTCTGCAACGAGAAAGAACGAAAAAAGCTCTCTTAAAGATGAGCGTTTTTATTTTTCCCGTATGTGCTCGCTGTTTACAGCTAACAATAAATGAAATTATGTTATGGTCACTGCTACCCAGATGTTCTTTTATATGGACATTCATAACAAGCTCTGCATGGTTTGAGATTACCAGGTCCAGCAGAGCATCATTCCTAGTTGGGGTCTCTGATCTATTACCTCCATACTCCACCCATAGAGGAAATATCAGACGGATAATCTCCGACACTCACCAACATACTCCGGAGCTCCTGGACAGCACTGCTCTGAGATTTCACCTCATCTGGCTGCTAGAAGAAAGAAATATTGCCGGTTACTGCAACAGTACAACAATTACTACGCCCTCATACATCGTACAAACATACACTACCGGGGGGAAAAAGGAAACATGATTCTAACAAAGCTCCACCAAAACAAAACACTGCATGGAGGAAGTCAAGAAAGATTGAAAACTAATACTTAAGGATCACTCCACCCAGAATTGATATTTCACTGGAGAATTCGGTCATCTGACAGTCTCTTCTATCTCTCGGGTCTCTTTTAGCAAGTTCTGAGATCTGCACTCCAGCTGTGCCCATTATGAGGGGATTCCACCATCCCTTTGCTCAGTTTCCATCTCTGCACATCTGCCTCACAATCCCTATGAGAAGCTCCCAGGTCTCCACATTATGAGCGGTTCCCCCCATCTTTTCAACGAATTCCTGGGTCTGTACACCAGCTGGGCCCATTATGAGGTGTTCCCACCATCCCTGCACTTAGTTAATGGCTCTGCACACCTGATGTGCCAATTATAAGGGGTTCCCACCATCCCTACACTGCATTCCTAGGCCTGCACACCTGCTCACTATGTGGGGTTCATATCATCCTTGTGCTGAGTTCCCAGGTCTTCACACCTGTTGTGCCCATTGTGAGGTGTCCCCATCATCCCTGCATTGAGTTCCTGGGTCAGCACACCTACTGTGCTCGCTACGAGAGGTTTTCCACCATCCTTGTGCCGAGTCCCAGGGTCTGTACACCTGCTGTGCCCATTATGAAGGGTGCCCACCATCCCTGCATTGAGTTCTTGGGTCTGCGCACATTCTGTGCTCACCATGAGGGGTTCCCATCATCCCTGTGCTGAGTTTTCAGGTCTGCACACTGGCTGTGCTGTGAGGGGTTCCCCCATTATGAGTGGGTTCCCACCATCCCTGTGCTGAGCTTTCATACAGGTCTTCACATCCTACTGTTCGCCATTATTGTGATGGGGTTCCCCACAGGTCTTCTCTGCATTAAGTCCCACCATCCCCTGAGTTCCCAGGGGTCTGTACACCTGCTGTGCTGGCTATGAGGGGTTCCCACCATCCCATCCACTGCACTACTGTTGATTCCCACCAGCATTAAAAGCTTTTCACCACTCTCAATAAAAACAGTGGATCCTCACAACACTACTCTACGCAATTTCCTCTAGACTTGTTTATACTCACACAGATTTTGGCCAAAGTTTCAAGCATAATTCATGAAAAAAGTCTCCAGGTATAATCTTTTTACTTCAATGGAGGGAAAATGGAGATGGAACTTTCCAAAAAAACAAACAAACCAATAATTCACATGTTATAAATTCTGGTATGCAGGTTCCACCAGCCACTAATGTCAGCCCAATCCTGAGACTAATGATCTAATGGAACACAAGGATTTCTATGGTGTAAGCTATGCAGGAGTAAGTACTGTAGTATCAATTCACTGGGCCTGAGTGCAATATGCCGCAATTGTTCAGTCTACTCCTATCACAAGGAGCCATTTGTTCCATCCATTATCCATCTTCCTCCATTTCCGGGGTCTTCCCTCTGCACCTCGAAAAGGTGAGTGTTGTCATTTCATGATGTGGGCAGATCTACATCCACTTCTGGAAGACAAGAACCTGACTAAGCATGACTCCCTACAAGAGACTGCTCAAGTCGTTTTCAATAATTATTCAATTTGCAGCTTTCAGTAATGTAATGCCTGGTGATCCTGCCATGGAGATCCTTGTTCAGGCACTTCCTGTTAAAGAGTGACAACGCTTTGTTCCTGCCTCCTAATTGTGCTCCTGCGTTGTCTTCTAACGGAGACTAAAAGTGACTGTTTCAGCACACATTACACGGGTATGGTCCACTATTGTAGCCATCGGGAAACTCACCTGAGAAATGCCATGCAACCAAGAGAGTACATGTAATTATTATTATGTATTACAGTACAGTACTCCTATAGCGCCGACAATTTACACAGCACTTTACATATACAGTATATTATACATTCACATCAGTCCCTACCCTCAAGGAACTTACAATCTACAATCCCTCACTTACACTCAATCCCTCACTTACAATCTACAATCCCTCACTCACATACATACACATACTAGGGTCAATTTAGACAGGAGCCAATTAACCTACCAACATGTCTTTGGAGTGTGGGAGGAAACCGGAGTACCTGAAGGAAACCCATGCAGGCACAGGGAGAACATGCAAACTCCAGGCAGGTAGTAGACATTTACTTAACCACTTCCTGTCCGGACACTTTCACCCCCTTCCAGTCCAGGGCAATTTTCAGCTTTCAGCGCTATCACACTTTGAATGACAATTGCACGGTCATGCAACACTGTACCCATATGAATTTTTTACCATTTTTTTGAGACGGATAAAGCTTTATTTTGGTGGTATTTATTCACCGCTGGGATTTTTATTTTTTTTACTATGTAAATGAAAAAGTCCAAAAATTTTGCAAATAAATAATATTCCATCATAAATCTTGGCCAAAATTTATTCCGTTATTTTTTTAGTAAAAAAAAAAAAAAAATCTAAATTAGTTTATAACCAAAAATTATAATTTTTAAACATTTTTTTTTTTACATTTTTATTTTTTATTTTTTTTATATTATTATTATTTTTTTTACATACTGTCACCCTAGCAGTACTGTGTCACCATGGTGACACTACTACTTGTGGGGGGTGATGAAGACTTTTTTTTTTTTTTTTTTACACTGATTGCTTTTACACTCATATAGGATGCAAAAGCAATCATTTCTCTTTCTCTCTGTCTGCATTCTTGCAGTCATTGAGAAGTACTGAGTGAGCTGTGATTGGTCACAGCTTGTCACATGGTACAAGGCTGTTGTGAATGGCCTTGTACCATGTGACCTCTGTGATCATTCACAGATTTCACACGTAGTAAGCAATGATGTCACAAGTGTCATCTTGCTTACTACTTTGCATGTGATCACTGATTCGCCAATCAGTGATCACATGATCGGGACCTCGTACAGAGGTCCCGTCCAACGATCGGTGTTTCACTGTGTCCGGAGGACACAGCGGGCACCAGATCGCGGTGCTGCGCGCTCCCAGGGAGCGCGCACAGCTAGAAAAGGCGGGTGCCGTTTATGAACGGCAACCCGCCCCTGGAGTGCCACCGTCCTGCCGTTTATCAACACCAGGCGGACGGCAAGAGGTTAAGCTGGAGAGTGGTTTCTATGTAGAAGTGAGCCTAATTTTGCAATCAGCTTCTAACCTCAGCTTGTTTAATGAAGCTTTGGCAATAAAACCTGGAAGCTGATTGGTTTCTATGCAGAAGTGAACCTGATTTTGCACTCTCCAGTTTTAGTAAATAAACTCTGAAGTGTCTGCAAAAGGTCTCCAGGAGAATTAGCACCACTTAGATGTAACAAATGATGAAAAGAATGAAAACAAGGATTAAAATAAAAATGACATTTATGATCACAGTGCACGGAGTAAACTAAATGTCATCCAGTAAGGCAGGCCATAGATGATACAATTTTCTTTCCTGCAGCTACAAGTTGCAGAAAAGAAGAAAAAAAAAAATTGCATTATGTATGCAGGGGCGGACTGACAACTCATGGGGCCCCCGGGCAATAGGGGATCATGGGGCCCCTGTGTCCTTGCCCAAACTCAAAAAAGCCTATGAAAAAGGTACCAGGGGCATCTCATGGGGCCCCCTACTGACCCCCAGCCCTCGGGCAGTGCCCGAGTTTCCAAATGGTCAGTCCGCCCCTGTATGTATGTCTTACTGGATTACAATTACAGGAAAGAAAATCACTGGACTCCCCCATCAACCGAGTAAGAGTCAAACTATTAGGGGGAGCCGTCCCTGCCAGGAGAACTCAGCGATCACTGCTAACGCCTATACTAGCCACTAGCAATAATCACATGGAAAATCCAACATGCTGGTTGTACCAAGTCATACAAGAATGGACTTGGATACAATCAGCCTGCCCATAGATGGTTTGAATTTTGACTGCTCCCTGCTGAACCGGCCGAGATTTGAACATCTATGATTGGCTTTAGGGCCACTTCTTTGCGTTAAGGCAGCCCTTTCAAAGTAAACGTGGTGCCAATACACCCCAATGGGTTTAAAAAGACATGAGCCTTATCTTCTAATGTACTGCAGCACAACTGCAATGCAGGAGAGCTGCCTTAGTGTGTTGGAGTGCCATTCAAAATGAATAGCACAACGCATGCAAAAGTGTAAATGGACTCCTGGGGTTTACATCAACTTAAAACAGAAGGACAAAGAATCTCTGAAAACATTGGTATAATTGTGAGTGAGGCCTGGCAGCACCTGCATTCCCCCCAGATGGTGGGTCAGGCGATCACCTTGTGAGGTTATTCAGATCAGGTTATAAAAAGAGATTGTATATAATGAATGAAAGCCTGTAGAAAGGTGTCATGTCAGATGGGAGATAAGTGTCCTTTTATGGTGTGTATAATGGGCGCTCACACTTCAGTATGTACATAATAATCTATACAGATGTAATAAAATGTACATTAAGCACGCCTTTCTATGTGAAATATTCCCCCTACTAATGTAATAACATCTATAGAGGTTCCTGTGTGTACTAAAGTGCTTTTCAGGCCTGAAGACGAGGAGGTGGCTTTCAGGGATAAAACACTTCACACCTCGGGCTGTTTTGCTGCCAGGCTCCATTGTGTGCCATACAAAGGCCACTCTCCAGCACTGAGAGCCGTTCTCTCTGTACCTCCCTGAGCGCCATTGCAATACGCGCCTTCACCTTACCCACTTGAAGCCGTTTATAGCAAATCACATCTTTGTTAACGTCTCAAGGACGTGATTTTCAGAATGCGCCAACACTTTGGGAGGTGGTCATCTATAAAGGAGTCCTCCACAAAGGCCCAACGTTTCCCACTGTTGATGCTCAAACTGCTGATGATCCCAACCTTCCAATTACTCACCTCTGCACCAAACTTGGCGGGAATAAAAGATTCTTGCACTTACCATAAAATCTTCTTGAAGTTCATTGAGGGACAAAGGAATTCTAATACTGCCGCCTACAGGAGGTTGGGATGGACGAATGAGGCCTCAGCCAGTGCTTCAGCCACAACCCCTTACATCAGTGGTTCTCAACCTTCCTAATGCCGTGACGCTTTAATACAGTTCCTCATGTTGTGGTGACCCCCAACCATAAAATTATTTACTCAGTAATTATAATTCATGAGTGTCGTTTTACCTCCAATACTGCTGCTTTCAACACAGTAGCTGCTTTTAACAGAGTAGCTGCTTTCAACACAGCAGCTGCTTTCTACACAGTAGCTGCTCTTTATACATCGGAAATATGTGTTTTCTGATGGTCTTAGGGGACCCCTGTGAAAGGGTCGTTCGACCCCCAAAGGGGTCGCGACCCACAGGTTGAGAACCACTGCCTTACATGGTTCACCCCACCTACCAGGGCTTGGTGACAGAGGACCTCTGGGACCAAGCCCTCCCAGTGGGTGGGGCAAAGCATATAAGGGGTGTGGCTGGCTGAGGCCATATTCATCTACATAATAATGCCCTGGGTTGGTGAGCGGAGCCTTTTCTCCCCTTTTAGAATGCTCATACACCTCTGAATGATGTGCTGACACCAGCTCCCTGCCCTGCAATCGGCGGGGAGATCTCTCTCTTAGCGTAGAGCAGCACTGCAAGTTTTATTTGGATCAATGTAATACACAGGGCCCGTGTTCCTCAATAGACTTCAAGAAAAAGATTGTACGGTGAGAACAAAAATGTCAGGAATTCAACAGCAGTTTGTATGTTCAAAAGAAAACCAATAAAACATTAGAGAACTACCTGCATGTCAGAGATATAGGAGGATCCAACGATGAAGACAAGTCCTCTGTAAGACAAAGGAACTACCACAACCAAAGGGAGGACAGAGGATTAACCCCGTGTCCCAGAGCTGGACAGACCACCAAAGAAAACCTCTTTAGACACTAGTGAAAAATAAGGTATTCTGTGTAGAGGAAGGGTTATTCAGGCACTAGCTTACATCTTTGCTGCTTGCCGGTATCCTAACCGCCTGTAGGCAGCAGTATAACCTGGCTGTATTAGAATTCCTGTGTCCCTCAATGGACAATAAAGATAAAAGTGCCTCTGCGGCAAAGCAGAAAGATGGGGCACTAAAAGCGCAATCTGGTCAATAAAAGATGTACACAGTAACATGGGAATGACTCATTAAACAGAAAGATGAATCACAGCAAGTAACTGAACAAATGAAATACTAAACCAATAATAAATAGGTGAATTGTGGGGATTCAGAATGATGCATGCAAGCCTCAGCTCATTGTAAGCACTCCCATTGTGTCTTCACCGTTAATAATTTATCCCTCCTTGTAAAAATAATGGGATAAACAAAAACTCCTTTTATTTCTACGGTGAAAGTGAAATGTCAGGTGACAAGTTAGACACAAACAGCACACATCGCATGCCATGCAAAAAGCTTACGGTCATTGCTTCCTCATCACATCCTGCGGGTGGCGCTGCTGCCTCTGGAGGCTCCTGCTGAGAACAGTATAAGGACACATGGTCACCGACACACTATACAGCACCAGTGTCTAATGGCTACTGTGGAGGGAGTGGCAAACCATTATCGCTGAGCGTCTTCAGGAAAAAGAAAAGGTGTACGTAAAAATAATGATCCTCCCTTATTTGCTCCCTTTTGGTCTGTTAAAAATACAACTGGAAAGAAAAAAAATACCTGTTGATCCTACCAGAAGTCTTGTGAGCCAATACATTCCTGTGCTCCCTGCCTGTGCTGCATTCCTAAGAGTTACATTGTACCCAGTTATCTCTGGGACCAAGGACCACAGACAACCCCCCCCCCCCCACATTGAAGAGATGAGGCAAAGGGAATGTGTTCCATAGGCCTGTCCTAGGGTGACAATACTGTACCTGCATAGATACAGTACAGTGTGAGCATTGTCACCCTAGGACAGGAATAAATGGCATTTCTGTTCTTAGGCATTAAATATACAGTCAGGTCCATAAATATTGGGACATCGATGCAATTCTAACATTTTTGGCTCTATACACCACCACAATGGATTTTAAATTAAACAAACAAGATGTGCTTTAACTGCAGACTGTCAGCTTTAATTTGAGGGTATTTACATCGACATCAGGTGAACGGTGTAGGAATTACAACAGTTTACATATGTGCCTCCCACTTGTTAAGGGACCAAAAGTAATGGGACAGTTGGCTTCTCAGCTGTTCCATGGCCAGGTGTGTGTTATTCCCTCATTATCCCAATTACAATGAACAGATAAAAGGTCCAGAGTTCATTTCAAGTGTGCTATTTGCATTTGGAATCTGTTGCTGTCAGCTCTCAAGATGAGATCCAAAGAGCTGTCACTATCAGTGAAGCAAGCCATCATTAGGCTGAAAAAAACAAAACAAACCCATCAGAGAAATAGCAAAAACATTAGGCGTGGCCAAAACAACTGTTTGGAACATTCTTAAAAAGAAGGAACGCACCGGTGAGCTCAGCAACACCAAAAGACCCGGAAGACCACGAAAACAATTGTGGTGGATGACCGAAAGAATTCTTTCCCTGGTGAAGAAAACACCCTTCACAACAGTTGACCAGATCAAGAACACTCTCCAGGAGGTAGGTGTATGTGTGTCAAAGTCAACAACCAAGAGAAGACTTCACCAGAGTGCATACAGAGGGTTCACCACAAGATGGAAACCATTGGTGAGCCTCAAAAACAGGAAGGCCAGATTAGAGTTTGCCAAACGACATCTAAAAAATCCTTCACAGTTCTGGAACAACATCCTATGGACAGATGAGACCGAGATCAACTTGTACCAGAGTGATGGGAAGAGAAGAGTATGGAGAAGGAAAGGAACTGCTCATGATCCTAAGCATACCACCTCATCAGTGAAGCATGGTGGTAATAGTGTCATGGCGTGGGCATGTTTGGCTGCCAATGGAACTGGTTCTCTTGTATTTATTGATAATGTGACTGCTGACAAAAGCAGCCGGATGAATTCTGAAGTGTTTCGGGCAATATTATCTGCTCATATTCAGCCAAATGCTTCACAACTCATTGGACGCCGCTTCACAGTGCAGATGGACAATGACCAAAGCATACTGCAAAAGCAACCAAAGAGTTTTTTAAGGGAAAGAAGTGGAATGTTATGCAATGGCCAAGTCAATCACCTGACCTGAATCCGATTGAGCATGCATTTCACTTGCTGAAGACAAAACTGAAGGGAAAATGCCCCAAGAACAAGCAGGAACTGAAGACAGTTGCAGTAGAGGCCTGGCAGAGCATCACCAAAGATGAAACCCAGCGTCTGGTGGTGTCTATGCGTTCCACACTTCAGGCTGTAATTGACTGCAAAGGATTTGCAACCAAGTATTAAAAAGTGAAAGTTTGATTTATGATTATTATTCTGTCCCATTACTTTTGGTCCCTTAACAAGTGGGAGGCACATATGCAAACTGTTGTAATTCCTACACCATTCACCTGATTTGGATGTAAATACCCTCAAATTAAAGTTGACAGTCTGCAGTTAAAGCACATCTTGTTCGTTTCATTTCAAATCCATTGTGGTGGTGTATAGAGCCAAAAATGTTAGAATTGTGTCAATGTCCCAATATTTATGGACCTGACTGTACATCAAGGTGGATCTTGAGCGATGTCTATTAGGAAGTTCCACCTGGTTTGTATTGCTGTGTCCCACTAGGTGAACATTTACCTTACATCCTGTCCTGGTGACCACACAGAAAGTGTGAGGAATCCCTCAAAAGGAATTCAGTGAAGAACCTCCAATGAAGACCTTATAGAGGTGTTGACCCTTCTGCTAGGCATTGCATTACATTTGGTCCTGGGTGGTCAAATGTGGAAAGGTTCCTGCATGCTCTGTTAGGTGGCCACTTTTATATCCTTATACTGGTTTGAACAGAAACATAGAAAAAGTTTACTATTTAGATCCCCCTGACAAGACAGGGGCTGCATGAAATATAACCACAGAGGAGGGCTGCATGAAACCTGAGCCTGTATCTGAGACCAGAGTGAAGGGCTGCATGAAACCTGAGCCTGTATCTGAGACCAGAGAGTGGGGGTTACATGAAACCTGAGCCTGTATCTGAGACCAGAGTGAGTAGGGAAACCTGCCTGTATCTGAGACCAGAGAGTGGGGGTTACATGAAACCTGAGCCTGTATCTGACACCAGAGAGTGGGTTACATGGCCTTACTGAGATGAAAGGGTTACTGAGCCTGTATCTGAGACCAGAGAGTGGGGGTTACATGAAACCTGAGCCTGTATCTGAGACCAGAGTGAAGGGCTGCATGAAACCTGAGCCTGTATCTGAGACCAGAGAGTGGGGGTTACATGAAACCTGAGCCTGTGAGCCTGTATCTGAGACCAGAGAGTGGGGGTTACATGAAACCTGAGCCTGTATCTGAGACCAGAGTGAAGGGCTGCATGAAACCTGAGCCTGTATCTGAGTTACATGAAACCTGAGCCTGTATCTGAGACCAGAGTGAAGGGCTGCATGAAACCTGAGCCTGTATCTGAGAACCAGAGAGTGGGGGTTACATGAAACCTGAGCCTGTATCTGAGACCAGAGAGTGGGGTTACATGAAACCTGAGCCTGTATCTGAGACCAGAATGTGGGGGTTACATGAAACCTGAGCCTGTATCTGAGACCAGAGTGAAGGGCTGCATGAAACCTGAGCCTGTATCTGAGACCAGAGAGTGGGGGTTACATGAAACCTGAGCCTGTATCTGAGACCAGAGAGTGGGGGTTACATGAAACCTGAGGGGTTGAAGGGCTGCATGAAACCTGAGCCTGTATCTGAGACCAGAGAGTGGGGGTTACATGAAACCTGAGCCTGTTTATCATGACCTGACCTGAGAGAGAGTGGGGGTTACATGAAACCTGAGCCTGTATCTGAGACCAGAGTGAAGGGCTGCATGAAACCTGAGCCTGTATCTGAGACCAGAGTGAAGGGCTGCTTGAAACCTGAGCCTGTATCTGAGACCAGAGTGAAGGGCTGCATGAAACTTACATTTTTATCTGAGATCAGAGCTGAAAAGGAACTCAGAAAAGTAAAAAGAATTCTATAGGTACAACAAAGGTGCCATCACATGTGGTTTTCTGAAAGGGAGGAGGGGTTATGCTCTGCCAAGGACAAAGAGTGAGCTCTGATGCTGTACTGGGGCTATCTCCTGCGTCTCCCTGTCACCTCTATACCATTATCATGACATTACTCACCTGGCTCTTTATCCGCACTGTCTGCTGGACAGGACGCAGGTGAACCCCCTTCTTAATTCGACTCATCATCTCCTCCACTGCCTGCCGCTTCAGATCATCGACAGCCTCTGCAGAAGAGAAGGTGAATGGTGGCATTAGCAGCAGGATAGACAGGAGACCGCGGGAATGCTGATGAAATTGCTATCCAAAAAAAAAGAGTGAGGAAGAAGCATCTAGGAGTTTTTTTTATATATCTTCTGTGTCCACAAAATAAAAAACAAAATGACCTATGATGTGGAAAAAGCATGTCAGCAGCAACTGATTAATGTAACCGTCTGCACACATCCAGGGGTCTCCCTGATTCACAGGGGGGGCACTGACACTCCTGACAAAGGGCTCCTGCATGGCCTCTAAACCTTGCACTGACACTCCTGACAAAGGGCACCTGCATGGCCTCTAAACCTTGCACTGACACTCCTGATGAAGGGCTCTTGCATGGCCTCCAAACCTTGCACTGACACTCCTCATGAAGGGCTCCTGCATGGCCTCCAAACCTTGCACTGACACTCCTGATGAAGGGCTCCTGCATGGCCTCTAAACCTTGCACTGACATTCCTGATGAAGGGCTCCTGCATGGCCTCTAAACCTTGCACTGACACTCTTGATGAAGGGCTCCTGCATGACCTCTAAAACCTTACACTGACACTCCTGATGAAGGGCTCCTGCATGGCCTCCAAACCTTGCACTGACACCCCTGATGAAGGGCTCCTGCATGGCCTCCAAACCTTGCACTGACACCCCTGATGAAGGGCTCCTGCATGGCCTCCAAACCTTGCACTGACACTGCCTGTGATCACGCGAATAACCATTCGGATCCATGGTGTACTAGTGACATATATTTTCTTCCCTGACCCCAGGGGGCACTGCAAGCTTAGTGACTGACCTCTACGTGTGCCATGGCACCGCTGCCTCCCACAATGCCCTGCTCCTGCTGAAGACAGAGTCGCCTTCTCCACACTACTTAGATACATTACATGTGTAGGGCACTGATCCACCAGCCTATGTCCTTAACCAGACGTTCCGCCTCACAGGATATCTGGCTGGAGGGGTGGAATATACATGGATATGTGGATTCTGCGGTGGGAGAGAGCAATTAGGGGAATGCTGGAGAGGTGGGTACATGACGGGGCAACCCAGGAGTGATAAATCTGCAATGCACATAACAAAATGGAATCATCTGCGATTCCTTCTTGACATGTTTATCTGGTTTTGATATGTTGGTTTTATACTTTATTCATTTAGGTCTCCGAGAAAAAGTTGTTTTGATATATTATTAGTACAGTGAGTATAGAAAAGAGACCGCCTTAAAAAAATAATCCCATTTTGATGCTTTGCAGCCTGAAATGAGGACAGACACAGTTATTGTTTTATCTAGCTGTATGTACTCACTGCAAATTATAACATCCAAATTGAAGATATAACACCAACATGTCAGAAAAAAAAAAAAAAAAAAAAAATCACAAACAGAATCATGGAGTTGGAAATAGGATCACACACACCCGCCCCCCCCCTACCCCCCCCCCCCCCCCTAAAAATGACTTGTAAACTCATTCAGGTGTATCTAATCACCTTCTCAATGGCACACAAAGCCATTTGACTTTCAACTGTGATCAGCTGTGGTAATTTTAATTAGCTCAGCATGCAAAGAACTTTCCTGGAGCATTTCAGTCCCTGGTAGTGCAACTGAAGCAAACTATCAACTATGGGTGGCAAGGCACGGTCAAAAGACCTCCAGGATAAAGTCAGGAGATGGATACAAAAAAAATGTCAAAGGCTTTATCAATGCCTAGAAGCAGAGTGAAGTCTTTTACTAAGAACTGGAAGGTATTTGGTACAACACAGACCCTCCCTGGATCAGGAGGTCCCTCCAGACTGGATGAAAGAGCCAGGAGGAAACTGGTCAGAGAGGCTACCAAGAGGCCTACAGCAACTCTGAAGCAGTGTCAGGAATTGATAACAGAGAGGGGTCATTGTGTGCATGTGACAACAATATCACAAATCCTCCACAAATGTGGCGTGTATGGGAGGGGTGCAAGAAAAGAGCGGCTCCTCAAGAAAGGCTAAACGTTGACACCACTGAGCTTTGCCAAAACGTACCTTGAAGATTCAGAGGAAACATGGAAAAAGGAGTTCTGGTTAGTTGAGACTAAAATTGAATTATCTTTCCTCATCACTAAACGGTATGTCAGCGAAGCATAGAGGGGGGGGTGTATTATATTATGGAGGGGGGGATATCCTGTTATGGAGGGGGGGGGTCTCTGCAGCAAGGACCTGGAGCACTTGTCAGGTTAGGAGGAGAAATGGATGGGGCAAAATACCGTCAAATTCCTGAGGAAAATCTGCTGTCCTCTGCCAGAAAGTTGCCAATAGGAAGAAGGTTTACCTTCCAACATGACAATGACCCAAAGCACACAGCAACAATGACCCCACAGTGGTTGGAGGGGAAAAAGGTGAATGTCCTTGCATGGCCTAGTCCAGGGGTGGGCAACCTGCGGCTCTCTAGCTGTTGTGGAACTACATTTCCCATGAGACATTGCAAAATTGACAGTTACAGCTATGACTTGCAGAGGCATAATGGAACTTGTAGTCCTGCAACAGCTGGAGAGCTGCAGGTTGCCCACCCCCCACCTAGTCAGAGCCCATACTTAAATCCCATTGAAAATCTGTGGAAAGAATTAAGACTGTGGAAAGAATTAAGTCCACAAACTGCCACTATCAAATTCAACTGAACTTGAGCAGTTCTGCACAGAAGAGCAGGCAAATATTGCAAAGTCCAGATGTGCAAAGTTAGTAGAGACATCCCAACAGACTAAAGGCTGGAAATAAAGCAAAAATATGGCTCAATAAAATACTGAAATGACCTGTTCTTCTGTAGTAGTTTGTGTCTCTGCCCCTCCCACAATGGTGACATTTCCTGCAGTAGTTTGTGTCTCTGCCCCTCCCACAATGGTGACATTTCCTGCAGTAGTTTGTGTCTCTGCCCCTCCCACAATGGGGAGATTTCCTGCAGTAGTTTGTGTCTCTGCCCCTCCCACAATGGTGACATTTCCTGCAGTAGTTTGTGTCTATGCCCCTCCCACAATGGTGACATTTCCTGCAGTAGTTTGTGTCTATGCCCCTCCCACAATGGTGACATTTCCTGCAGTAGTTTGTGTCTCTGCCCCTCCCACAATGGTGACATTTCCTGCAGTAGTTTGTGTCTCTGCCCCTCCCACAATGGTGACATTTCCTGCAGTAGTTTTTGTCTCTGCCCCTCCCACAATGGGGAGATTTCCCTGCCCGATACTCTATCCTGGTTGATACTACATTTCCTGGATGGAGGACATCCAACATCATCTAGCACCTCACTGTCCCTGACCCCCTTTCATTTCTTGGATTTTCAGTTCTTTCAGTCATGCAGGCTAAGCATTATCTAGGGTTCTTTGTATGCATATACAGCCTCCCTAGGAAGGCCTATTCCTCCAGACTGACAGCTGCACATCAAGGCATAATAATGCATATTTGCACAACTCTTCCCAGGAGCTAGCCCAATGCTTGGATCAGGGCTGAGGGTTCTTGATAGGAATACTGAGGCAGAGTGCTGTGATGTTTTCAGAAAGCTATGTATAGCACCCTGCTGTCCCCTCTCACCTGCCCTGATCTGAGTGCACTGCATAGAGAAGCACAGAGGTCCAGTGATTATATCAATGGAACTAAAATAAGGTTTAAGTTAAACAGGTCATTAGTATGTTTATGAGGGAGAAAGGAAGAACCAGAAAAGGCAAGACAAAAGCAGAACTTTTAGCTGTAGGGTCAGTTACAGTCACGAAGGGGGATATGTTATGTCAGAGATGACCTGAAAATCAGGCTTCTCCCAAACACAGAACAGCACCACAGCGCAAGTTCCATGGAGCAGAGCTGGGCTCCGCAGGACACCAACCGCTGGCTGTATACACGTAAACATCACACAAAGCTGTTCTGGGAAATAAAAGCTGGCGCTGCAGAATTTAATGGCCCCCATTATCTTATTAATACAATGAGGAATTCAGTTCCACATTCAATGCTTTTCCATTGTCACCAGTGAATGACTTAAAAGCCAGCGCAACCTGTCAGATAACGGTGAGCTCGACCTGCGGGGGGGCTCCTTAATTCCTTCAATAAAAAATAAAAAAATAAAAACGTGCAATTTGAAACGCTTACATTTACACGGAACGCCTGCGGTATAACCGGAGTCATTGTTTAAGAAAAGAAAAAAGAAAAAAAAAAAAACTTAGAAAAGTGATTTTCAACGAGGATTTAAAAACACATTTTAGATGTTGTGTTAACGGAGCGGCGAACACCCTTTCATTGCCAAAAGACAAGAGATTCTGGAACACAGAAAGGGGGAGAGTGGACACAGCACTCCTCCCCTGATCAATACGAAGTGGTGTAGGGCCACACTTAACCACTTCCAGACCGGATACTTTTACCCCCTTCCTGACCAGGGCAATTTTCAGCGCTATCACACTTTGAATGACAATTGCGCGGTCATGCAACACTGTACCCAAATGAATTTTTTATCCTTTTTTTTGACACAGATAAAGCTTTATTTTGGTGGTATTTATTCACCGCTGGGATTTTTATTTTTTTTTGCTATGTAAATGAAAAAGTCTAAAAATTTTGAAAAAAAGTGTTTTTTTTATAAAATTTTGTAAATAAATAATATTTCATCATAAATCTTTGCCAAAATTTATTCCGTTATCTTTTTAGTAAAAAAAAAAATCCAAATTAGTTTATAACCAAAAATTATAATTTTTAAACATTTTTTTTTTTACTTTTTTATTTTATTTTTTTTATATTATTATTTTTTTTTTTTTACATACTGTTACCCTAGCAGTACAGTGTCACCATGGTGACACTGTACTACTTGTGGGGGGGTGATGATTTTTTTTTTTTTAACACTGATTTTTACACCCATATAGGATGTAAAAGCAATCATTTCTCTTTCTCTCTGTCTGCATTCTTGCACTCATTGAGAAGTACTGAGTAAGCTGTGACTGGTCACAGCTTGTCACATGGTACAAGGCTGTTGTGAATGGCCTTGTACCATGTGACCTCTGTGATCATTCACAGATTTCACACGTAGTAAGCAATGATGTCACAAGTGACATCTTGCTTACTACTTTGCATGTGATCACCGATTGGCCAATCAGTGATCACATGATCGGGACCTCGTACAGAGGTCCCATCCGACGATCGGTGTTTCACTGTGTCCGGAGGACACAGCGGGCACCGGATCGCGGTGCTGTGCGCCCCCAGGGAGCGCGCACAAGCAGGGTGCGAGGAGGCCGTTTGTAAACGGCCACCCGACCCTGCAGTGCCACCGTCCGGCCGTTTATATGCAACGGCCGGTCGGGAAGTGGTTAAATGAACATCACAGACCAAGAAGTCCATTCAGACAAACATTTCACATTTAAAGCAGAAGTTTAATTGTTGCTTTCCATGGTTCCTCCTTTCCCACCTCATCAACATGCCCTAAAAGCAAAAAAAAAACCAAACAAATAAAACACCTGTTTCATTACATACCTTAATTTAAATGACGTCATTGTGCTTCTCTATGCAATGTAGGCATATAATGGCTAGTGGGAGGGGCTGGCGGGGTGCTGTACATAACTCCCTGAAAACATTAAGCCACATTCAGGTTATAGCTTAGCAGAAACCAGCATTCTGACTACACGGTTTTGACACGCAATTTTCATGCGATTCTGCATGTGGCATAGGGCAGCCCACTCATTTGAATAAGCTGCCCTATGTAAGTTTGTCACCTGAAGAGAAGTTCCTGCTCCCTTTCGAGCGACAAGCTTCGCGCAGTTTGTGAAGGCGTGGTTTGCTGCACTATCCTGTCGTGTGACAATCGCGGCAGATCAAATGCACATATTTGCCAGCACACCGTGGATCGTCTAATAACGGCCAAATCTTTATTGAAGAATGATCACATCACAGAAAACATTTTGCAACGTTTCGGATCCGCGCAGCACCCCTTCATCAACCATGTGATGAATCGTGGCAGAATTGTACCATGTGTGGGGTGCCATTGAAGGATAATGGCACCCAAACAAGAGCAGCGCGTTATGCTGTGATTGCAACGCACATTGGCATCGACGTGGGCAGAATTGCAGCCATTCTTCCAGCGATCACAAATAGTGAGATGTGAATGGGGTCTTACAGCACCCTACCTGAGGACTCCTCTCAAGAGCCCTGATGCAATTAGTGGGAATGCCCATACGTGATGCTGAGCATCCAAGATTGAAAAAAAAAATGAGATGGCTGAAGGGTGTGGGCCAGAGAGAGTCTTGCTGTGGAGGAAAGTGGCTAGATGATGCTGGATGTCCCTCCAGACAGAGAAGCTCACAGTTTGCAGTGGGAAAACAGACATTCAGCTTTAAAGCTGATCTCTGGGATAAGCAAGTATTGTCTAAATCCATTCATCATGTGTGTTCTTCCTTGAATCTCGGTGTGCTTTGTGTATTTCTTCCAGATCTGTGCAGTAATCTAGTGTGAGACTTTTTCTGTAATAAAGACCGCTCACTGCTGCTCGCTCTCCTTGTGCAGAGTGACTGGTCTTGTCTCCGCCCCCTCCTGTAGTTTTCAGCAGGCAGCCTGTAGTGGGTGGAGCCTCAAACAGATCTGCTCTCTGAACTGACTATACCACAGCACAGTGATAATGCTATTTTTACAAGGTAACATCTGAGTTTGTCAAGGCATTTGGCGCACACAAAGCAAATTTATATCCTTTGTATCTATTGAGAAATATATTTGAATGAAAGTTTTTGTGACCGGAGTTCAGCTTTAAGTACTTGCACACGATTCCTATCACAGCTTGGGCCTACATGACGGCCTATGGCGGAATCATTATCTCCTTCCAGAAGGATTATCGCTCTGGATTTGGCGGAATAAGTCATTTCCCTGACAATTTCTGTTTTCCGCATTTACAGGTGCAATTCTTTTCTTACCGGACTCTGGCTGGGAGGCAATTTCCTTCTTCACAGAGCTGCTTGCCTGCGAGGGCTTCTTCCGAATAATGGACATCAGGGACCTGAGGGGTGGGGGAAGAGAGGGTGGGTCAGTGTCACAAAATCCTTCATAATTCCTAACACAGCACATATAGCCCCATCAATCACCAGACATGGTCATGGCATGGTGTGCAGAACGCCATTAATTCTATGTGCACAGCTTTACCCTGTGTGCCTGTGTGTGTTCACCACCAACAACGTTTTCGCCTGTCCTTCCCGTTTTACGATTACAGTTCCGTCACATATTTCTGTTTGTTTGCTCTACGTGAGGCCAAACACACACACACCAATGTATTATCACATACAACCAATCATCTGTTCACTACCATCCTCCCTGCATACGATACACAGTCTATAATACATGGCTGGGCAACTACACAGACAGTACCCCTCAATAGACAGCACCCCCCGACATAGGTGGCACCCCCCCACATACACTTCAGGGTGAAGAAACTAGCGGCAGTATTTCAGGTGTATAATTATCAACATAACAATACCACCAACACGGATTGCAGCAAAAAAAAAAAAAGGAAGATCGCATGAAACAAGAGATTCTCTTTAACAAATCTGAAAAGCTAGCAAGCGATTCAATCCACCAGATTCCACCTATTACTGAAACATCACATGAGCAGTGGATTGGCACTCTAATGCTGGCCATACACGGTTAGAAAATTGTATTTTAAACAAAGGGTAGGATTTCTAAAGATCTGTCAAATGTGCATGTGAGGACGCTTTCATTGTATCAAAATATTTCCCCCAATTGTTGACATTATTGATCATTAACAACCAGGGTCGGACTGACCATTTGGAAACTCGGGCACTGCCCGAGGGCCCGGGGTCAGTAGGGGGCCCCATGAGATGCCCCTGGTACCTTTTTCATAGGCTTTTTTGAGTTTAGGCAAGGACACAGGGGCCCCATGATCCCCTATTGCCCGGGGGCCCCATGAGTTGTCAGTCCGCCCCTGTTAACAACATAAATGGAACATTTTTCATCAATCGGTGGAAATGATGTAAAGATTTTTTGACCTTGGTGAACCCTCCCACTCTCCAGCTGTATTTAAAAAAAATATTTTTCTTTTCGTTGTTTGTACTTCTGAGGTTACATTTAGGCATATGCACTGAAGATTTTTTTCTGTTTTCAATCGATTCTACTACTATTTAGAAAATCGATCAAATAGGTTTGGAAAATCCGACAGGACAGTTCATTACTTTGCCATAAAACTTTGCATTTCGATAATCAAAATGATCCCCCTACAGTTCTGAAAGTTGTATGATGGAGCATATCAAGCGCTTTTTTAATGATTTTTCTAACTGTGTATGGCCAGTATAAGGCCTCTTTCACATGAGCTATCCAATCAGGTCACCTGTCAATTTTTTAGGTGTACCTGATCAGAAGGTCCATGCACTCCTATGAACAGGTGGGTGTAAACTAACTTGTGTCCATTTACACCGCCGGATCCAACTTGGTCGGCAATAAAAAAAAATGAACATGATCAGTTTTCTTCTGGTTAGGCAGATCAGATCAGAGGGTCGTCAGGTGTAAAAAGACAGCGGAGTCCGTTTACTCCCGGCCACATATAGAGCAGAGTGGGCTCTGTGTCCGCTCTGCATAAACGGACACACACAGATCTGTCATCCACCCGCTCTGCTCTGATCACCAGGGGATCTGAGTGGATATCGATTGGAAGGGAATCTGCCCCGTGTGAAAGTGGCTTAAAGCATTTAACACATAACAAACACAAACAAACTGGGGGAGGTGTGTTTCATCATTTGAAGCTGAGCTCGGGAAGATCCTAAAATACCATTTAACACAACTGTGTATTACTTTAAAAAAATGACATGTATTTTTACATAACGCTAGTAAAAACCACAGGAATCTGTCTTGCATTATTCTCTGTTATCCCCTGTATAGCAGCACTAAAGGCAAATCACACTATATGGCATGCACATGTGCTGACAGTAGGAGACAGCAGAGTGAGGAGAGCAATGACTTATGTTACTGCTGTTCCCTCATTGTCCAATCAAAGGGAGGAGAGCAGGGACCTGACATATATTCTTTAATGTAAAGTGGCATTCAACTAAAAAACAAAAAACATATTATATTGCTGTTCCAGTTTTCAGATGTGGTGATTGCAGTGCTTTAATTTTTTAAGCTTTTGTTAAGCTTTTTCCTTTTTTTTCTACTGGTGATCCAGCCAGTAAGTCTGTTATTTTTTTTTAACTTCCTTTAAAAGACCAACAAGAGCTGCAAAATATATTTTTTGTCTCTGGGCTTAATACCTCTAATTTTAGCAGAGAAAAGTGACATTACTGTCCATGGTAAACCACAGAAGTGGCCAGGCAGAAGTACAAAACATGGTAATCCTGCTCATGTGTATTCCAGCTATCTGCCTGGAGTTCAGCCTAAATAAGATAGACTGCTATTCTGGAGCACCATCTCGCTCACCATACAGGCACCATCACAATGAAGTCATGTCTGTGGTGACGGATTATTTCTGTACATGAAACCAACAGTCTTACCGGATGGGGTTGGGCGGCGGAGGAGGCGGGAGAGGTGGCGGCGGTGGCGGAGGAGGGGGTGGCGGATTCTCAGCCTGATGTACTCGTTTCTGAAGCTCTTCCACTGCTCACAAAAGACAATGTGTTACGACCAATAACATTTATGGCAACCAACCTGCAGATCTCTTCTGTGCTGTATTCAGTTTGCGGATCCCACTACCCCCAACAGGTTCTAGTCAAGTCTACTGACAAAGAATGCCAGCCGGTCCTATGGAAGCAGGCTGCTGCACTAAGCACTGCTCCTGAAAATACTGGGTCTGCCTGGCCGTCATGCCAGTCCTCTGACTTCCACCATTGCATTATTCTTTTGAATTAGTGAATGAAAATACTGAAACCAAATGTTCAGCATGACAGGCATTCTAGTCGTAATTTCTGAAGCAGTGATAAGCAGTATTTTCTCAAGGCAGGTCCCCTTTAACAGCATCTAAATTTCATGCACTCGTTTTTATCAGTATTTTACTGCATTCATTCACAGCGAGATGTTGCTGGATTATGACATCACTTACTTTATAAAAAAACTTCCATCACAGACCAGGGGAGGTAAAAAATACACTGGAGACTTTGAATACAGCAACTTCAGTACAACGCTGATGTGATCTCGCCAACCAAAGACAATCATCATTTTGTTCTTCCGTCACGGTTCTATTGCTGTCCTCTCACACCATGACACGCAAGGACTCCTAATAAGCCCATGTTCTGGATGAAATGTTCCAGTACACTTTGAATACATCCTGACGCATTGCAGCCTGCATTCAAAGTCTACTAACTCTGACACAAGCTGACCTAATCTGGTGTCAATAAAGCTTGTTGTGGTTAAGCAAAAAGCATAGTGGAGCTTACACGATTGCAGGTCTGCAGAGGATAAAGCAGATACTAAAACGGTGTGAACCCGCAGTCAGCCGCTACATGACGTTGATTGGAATGTTACCAACAATCACAGGTACCAGGCCTCTTTATCAGGAGGATTGCTGAAATAATGGCTATTTTACATTTTTTTTTATTTTATCTTTAGTTCATTTTTTTTTTTGTTACAAAAATCCATATTATGTCCAACGATTCTTAAATACATAAACACTACATACTTAGTACCTGTTCCCTACACCACCCACCCACCCTTAGGCTATTTTACATTTATCAGTTTGTTTTGCCTGCTAAAATGTAATAATAAAACTAGTAAAAAAATATTAGGCGCACAGATGAAGAAAGGCACTAAATAGAAGAATACTGAAAGACTTGTGTCACTTCTTAGTAATGACATATTAGGCCAGATTCAAGGGATGGCAGTTTTGATCTTGTGGTGAAAATAATGGGGTAAAGTTTACAAAAACAAACAAAAACATAGTCAGGGTTACTGAAATCTGAGCTGACAAAGTACATGGAGCGCTCTATAAAGAGGCGAGACCACTAGGGGTGAGATCCCTCAGGAAAGAAGAGGTGAGACTGTCAGGAATGAGATCTCTTGAAAAAGAGGTGAGACTGTCAGGGATGATACTCTCAATCAAGAAGAGGTGAGACTGTCAGGGATGATGCTCTCAAGAAAGAAGAGGTGAGACTGTCAGGGATGATACTCTCAGGGAAGAAGAGGGTGAGACTGCCAGGGATGAGTTCCCTCAGGAAAGAAGAGGTGGGACTGTCAGGGATAACACCATCAGGGAAGAAGAGTTGAGACTGTCAGAGATAATACTCTCAGGGAAGAAGAGGTGAAACTGCCAGGGATGAGTTCCCTCAGGAAAGAAGAGGTGGGACTGTCAGGGATAACACCATGGAAGAAGAGTTGAGACTGTCAGAGATAATACTCTCAGGGAAGAAGAGGTGAGAATATCAGGGATGAGATCCCTCAGGAAAGAAGAGGTGGGACTGTCAGGGATAATACTCTCAGGGAAGAAGAGGTGAGAATATCAGGGATGAGATCCCTCAGGAAAGAAGAGGTGGGACTCTCAGGGATAATACTCTCAGGGAAGAAGAGGTGAGAATATCACGGAGATCCCTCAGGAAAGAAGAGGTGGGACTGTCAGGGATAATACTCTCAGGGAAGAAGAGGTGAGAATGTCAGGGATGAGATCCTTCAGGGAAGAAGAGGTGAGTCTGTTGGGGATGACATCCCTCAGGGAAGTAGAGGTAAGACGGTCAGGGATGAGATCTCTCAGGGAAGAATAGGTGAGACAATCAGCAGGGATTAGATCTCTCATAGAATAAGAAGTGATAATGTCAGGGATAAGATCTCTCAGGGAAGAAAAGAGGAGAGTCTGTTAGGGACGAGATGTCTCAGGGAAGAAGAAAAGAGTCAGTTAGGGATAAGATCTCTAAGGGAAGAAGAGGCAAGTCTGTTGGGGATGATACTCTCAGAAAAGAAGAGGTGAGACTATCATGTAAGGAAAGAAAAGGTGGGACTGTCAGGAATGAGATCTTTCAGGGAAGAAGAGCTGAGACTGTCAGGAATGAGATCCCTCAGGGAAAAAGGTGAGACTGTCAGGGATGATACTCTCAGGAAAGAAGAGGTGAGACTTTCAGGGATGATACTCTCAGGAAAGAAGAGGTGAGAATGTCAGGGATGAGATACTTCAGGGAAGAAGAGGTGAGTCTGTTTTGGATGACATCCCTCAGGAAAGAAGTGAGAATGTCAGGGATGAGATCTCTCAAGGAAAAAAAGGTGAGACTGTCAGCAGGGATTAGATCTCTCAAGGAATAAGAGGTGATGTCAGGGATAATATCTCTCAGGGAAGAAGAGGAGAGTCTGTTAGGGATGAGATGTCTCAGGGAAGAAGAGGAAGGACTGTTAGGGATAAGATCTCTAAGGGAAGAAGAGGTAAGTCTGTTGGGGATGAGATCTCTCAAAGAAGAAGAGGAGGGACTGTCAGGGATGAGATCTCCTAAGTAATAAGGGGTGATAATGTCAGGGATGAGATCTCTCAGGAAAGAAGAGGTGGGACAGTCAGGAATGACATCTTTCTGGGAAGAGGAGGAGAGACTGTTCGGGATGAGGGATATCTCCCAGGAAGAAGAGGTGGGACTGTCAGCAGGGATTAATTCTCTCAAGGAATAAGAGGTGATAATGTCAGGGATAAGAGTCTGTTAGGGATGAGATGTCTCAGGGAAGAAGAGGAGAGTCTGTTAGGGATAAGATCTCTAAGGGAAGAAGAGGTAAGTCTGTTGGGGATGAGATCTCTTTAAGAGAAGAAGAGGAGGGACTGTCAGGAATTACATCTTTCAGGGAAGAAGAGGAAAGACTGTTAGGGATTAGATGTCTTGGGAAGAAGAGGCGAGTCTGTTGGGGATGATATCTCCCAGGAAGAAGAGGTGGGACTGTCAGGGATGCGATCTCTTGGGAAAAAGAAGACATGAAACCGTGTGGCATGAAATCTCTCAAGGCAGAAGATGTGAGAATTGCAGAGATGATATCTCTCAGGGAAGAAGATGAAGCAGATACACATCCACTGACATAAAATGAACGTCACTCATCTTTATAAATAGTCGGGTCAGAGAACAATATTACAAAGCCTAACTCCAAACTGATATCCTCTTAGTAGCTGACCTTGGGGTAAGGATCTCCTTTACTTTCCCCAGAAAAATGGATGAGGCCTGTGATGTGGCGAAAACAAGGAGGTTCAGCCAATGTGCCTGGACATCTTTGTGCCCGATCATCCTACAGAACGACTGTCCACTAACCACTTCTCACCAACCACAAGTGAACTCCGTCCTTTGTAGGATAGACACTGAATCAGATGCACAGATTTAATGAACACTAATCTGCTGACCTAAATAACATGAAAAGTTCCTGTTTCTGTCTTTTGACAAGCTCATCCTCTCATTGCCAGGTGAGAGAGAGCATTAAGAGAAGACTTTTCATTTTAGAAAGTTGCAATACAACAAAAGATACAGCACTAATTACTCGTCTACTGCAATATTGTTGCCTGCTAATGAGACAGCATTTTTCCCTTTAATGGAGGAGATATTGATTGCCAGGAAAAACAGAGAGCCAATATAAAGAGAAGACAAGGTACAGAGTTAGCAGGTTAATGTCCAGTTCTCATCACACACAAATATCCCCAAAACCTCCACCGTCCTACTAATCCCCAGAGTGACAAGGTAGTGAGATCGCAGCAAGGGCAAGAGACAATTGCCCACTGACCCAGCAAAGTTATCTGTAATTAGTCAGGATATCTGAACAAAACATGGAGGAGACACTGCTCAGCTATCATTCTATTCCCTACCTCACTGCTTGGCTAAGATGTTTAAAATCATTAATGAGATAATTACTTTATTAATATTATTAGATGATTATTATTATACAAGATTTATGTTATAATTAATAAATATTCTAAATAATTAACTAGATATACATTATTTTTCTATAATAATTTTGTTATAATGAGTATTTATTATCCAACTATAATTATTATATGTTAACTTTAACTACTATAATTAAAAATATATAATATTACCTATTAATATTAATTACTAACTATTAATAATATAGGAATTATTTTTATTACAAATTTTCCAATTGTAACAATCTTCATCAATTATTTCTATAATGAATGTATTGGCTTTATTATATAATAATTATAGGATGATTAATAATGAATAAAATCTCCTAAAGATAATGATGATAGTAATGCGATTAATTATAACTCATTAATTAGTCTTGTTGGATTAGCCTGCCTCATTCCCAGGTTAATCCAACGGCTTCAATACTTTGAGTCACTGACACAGAATGTACATATTGTATTCAGAACTCTTTTGCTGCACAATTGCTCTATGTTGGTGACTCAAGAGTATGGAAAAATTAGCAGCCAGGCATCTAGGGTTTTCAGGAAAAGGTCAGCAACTGAAACCCACATGATTCTTTCACTACAGGCTTCCTTTAGTCAGAAACCGTCAGGATGGCTCTTGAGCTGGCCATAGATGAATTAAAGTGGTAATAAAAGCCTTTTTTTTATGTTTTATCTAAAGGTATGCCTTTAATACGAATTACCTGTAGATACTGTAAATATCTCCTAAACATGCACCATTTAGGAGATATTTACTTTGTCAGTGCTGGTGACGTCACTGAGACATGCGCACTGCACTCTCAATGGATGGCCATCCATTGAAAGAGCAATGCCACAGCCAAGAGTGACGTCATCGCAGCTTGGCCAGTCAAACAACCAAGGAACACGGAATGAAGACTGGGTGAAGATGGAAGCCCCGGGGAAATGTGACAGCACACCACTGCAGAGCTTAGTGTTCAGGTAAGTCTTTCATAATGTGCTAGTATGCGATGCATACAATCACATTATGCTCTTAACGTGCAAGGAGAAGATTTTTTTTAGATGTATTTTTTGCGGTTTACTACCACTTAAGATTTATCCAGTTCAGCAGGGACCAGACAAATTTCAATCCATCTATGGCGATTCCCATTCAAAAGGATTCAACTCTTTTCAATTGGGACTGTTGATATATTTTCATTCGATCAGCACTTGCAGCCAACCAGCTTCAGTGCTGATCATTGATTTCTAACAGAGGAGGAGGCCTGCTGTCAGAATACAATAGCACAGTAGGAAGGATTCCTTCATCCACCTTGTGGAAATCAGTTAAATTTTTTTTTTATCAGCTTTAGAGGTCACTGTACAAGCTTTGCTCTGCCCAGAAAATAGCACTGCTACCAAGAGAACAGCAATTGCCACAGACACTGGACAAGATATACACCCAAACCTGGAGCTTAAAGAAATCCATACAGAGACATTTATGACAAGGAAAGAGTTGTGTAAAGTAACATTGGGAAGCATTCTAGTTCCTAAAATCACCCCTCCTATCATTCGTAAGAAATTTCCATACCAGCATGTTTCAGGTCTTTTACTGATGACTCCGAACTCTGCAGCTTCACCTCCAGATCCTTCTTTTCCTCCTCCATTATCTCCAACTGCTTCTTCAGACTCTGAATCTCCTTCCTAAGCCGGTCCTCCGCCAACTGATCCTCCAACTCCTTCACCTTATTATATGAAATGTACGAGATTACACATAATGAAATTCAATCTCCTGAAACACGAACTGCTGGAGGTCATTGTTCCTATCTCTAACTCTCCTCTCCTGAAACACTCTCCACTGTAAGAGGATTCTGCTACTTCCTCTAACTCTCCTGTTTTGAAATATTTTGCACTACTGGATGATTCTGCTCCTTTGTCTAACGCTCCTCTCCTGAAACTATTTGTGCTACTGGAGGACTCTGCTCCTTTCCTCTGTATCAGGGTTTCTCAACCAGGGTTCTATGGAACCCTAGGGTTCCACCAGAGGTTGCTAGGTGTTCCTTGAGCAATGAGCAATTCCTGCCTCTCAGATATGTTCCCACTGACACCATTGATCTTTTTAGCCATCTGCAAGGTGGTAATTCTTCCCAATGACCACAAGAGTAAGGAGCATTCTCCCTACTGACCATCACATTAATGTATGAGGAGTTGTAGCTATAGTACTTTTTAGCAGGTGTTCCCTGAAACTGAAAAGTTATTGTAAGGGTTCCTGTGTGTTGAAAAGCTAGAAAAAGGCTGCTGCTCTATATATTTCTACTCTCCTGAAGTACTCTGTGTTTTTAAAGGTCTGTACTCCTTTTCTCTCCCAAAATACACTGCACTGCTGGAGGACACTGCACCTTCCTCTCCTCTCATGAAATATTCTGAGATGTGGGAGTACTCCTTCTGGTGAGGCTCAGAGGTGTCGCAGGTCAGGAGAAGTTGGGTAGGGTCTCTGTAGAAGTGAAAAAAGTGAATAGTCTCTGAATGGTTGGGTCACCTTTTGCTGATGTTGGATGCGGTTTTCCTCCAGCAGTTGGGTCAATCTGGCGTTCTCCTCGAACGCTTTCAGTAGCTGCTCACTGGGGCACACTCCTGCAGCAGCAGACAGCTCTGTCGCTTCAGTTTATTCTGTTCGATGATCATCTGGAAAATGAAAACAAGTTATTGGGATCTTCATTGAAGACCATACTGAACCACCATTTCTGTGATGTCACTTCCCTGCCTCTCCACATTATCCAATCAGAGAACACTTTGCATTCATGGAGAACATGCAAAGTGTTTTCTGAATAGTGCCCGTGCTGAGCAACCGACCTCCTGTGTTCACAAAGAGAAGGGCATCCGCTCGGCACAGGACTCAGAAGCTAGTGGAGATCACTGTAGTGGTGGTGCACACTATAATCATTTCCAGCTTCTAGATGGATTGGTCAGGTATGGCATATGCTACACTGGTCCAAGCTGGACCAATGTAACTATAGAAAAATATCAATACCTGGAATTCATATTTAAATTGATAATGGATAATTTTTGGCGTATAAGGTTTGTATGGTTGGGTCACCCAGATAAGAATAGACTTAGTAATAGGAGAATGAGCTAAGGACTACTTACTCCGATAAACAGACCGAGGGATTCTGCTATTTACATACAAGTCATCTAGAAGTGCTAGATATCAAGAATCAGGCTTTAAGCTTCTGACACGTTGGTAATGATCCCCTGGGATCTTTTTCTTACTTCATCACCACGATATTCCTGGGAAGATACAATATTCCTGCTCAATTGTCCCACCACTTGTGAGTGTGGCAAAGAGCTGCATCCCTACTTTCTGGAAACAACAACAGGCACCTCCAATCACCGTATGGTTGGCGAAAGTACAAGAGATCAATGAGATGGAGGACTTATTGCAACAAAGAGCGGCATAAGAGAAATTTTGGAGAAAAAAAGGTTCTACTGGTACGACTTTGTGTACTCTTCAGCTTACACAGCCCTGTTCAATTCTGGTTCTGCAGGCTAAGGCTTTTGGATGCAGACAGTTCGGAGGTCTGGAGAGATGGAATCCCCCACCCCCCCCTTTTTTTTTCTCTTCTCTATTTTTTTCCTATTTACCCCTTGGCCCTCTGTTTTTATAACCTAAAATGTGCAAAGGGTACCAGGCGCCATGGTGTTAGGGGCATCAGATCTCCTTGTAATTGTTAAGTGGATCGACCTGGCACACCTAAACTGCTGACCCAGCCTCAATATCTCTCATTGGCCTTATCAGAGGCCAGAACTATGCTCATTGTGCTGTATACTGCCTATTCTAGGTTGTTGTTATGGATTGTGACTTCTGTACTGCAGTAACTTGTTGAATAAAAAATTAAAAAAAAAAAAAAAAAAGAAGGAGGAACAATAGACTTTGTAAGCTACTGAAATTTAAAATTGCTATGCAACAGATTGACCATTGCTTTTGGTAAGCTAACATTCAAGGCTATGGTTTTATTTTGGTTCAGTGATAAGTCCAAAAATTTTAAGAACTTATGTAGAAATTGTAGCAAGTTGGGTATTGTTGTATGTGGAGATGAAATGTACATAAGGACACTGTCCACAAATAAGGCACATTTATGCTTTTGTTTGACACAGGCAATCCCCTGTATGTTTGTATTAGAGCGTATCATGATGGTGAGGGACTTTGTGGCTTAATAGAAAGAGTAAAGGGAATAACGGGCAGTCCTGTCGAGTGCTTTAAGAATGGTAAACAAACAAGAGTTATATCCTTTCACAAATAATTGTACTGTGGGGGTATGGTATAAAGCAGGGGTCTCCAGACTTTCAAAACAAAGGGTCAGTTTACGGTCCTTCAGACTTTAGGGGGGTCGGCCTGTGGCCATTGGGAGTAGCAAAGATCCAAATATCAGTGGGAATAGACAATGCCCCATTTTTTGTGTCAGTGGGAGGAATAGTGCCCCATGTTTGAGTCAGGAATTGTGCCCTATCGTTGGTGTCATTGGGAGGAACTTCATTGGTGTCGGTGGGTGGGAATTATGCCCCACTGTTTGTGTCAGTGAATGAAATAATTCCCCAAGGGACAGATAAAAGCAAGCAAGGGGCTGCATCTGCCCCTGGGCCATAGTTTGGAGACCACTGGTATAAAGAATGAAGCATATGGAGAAAAGGTGCTCCAAAACTTACAGTCTCTAGGACAGTGAAAAAATATTCCCATGACAAACTATCAAATTCTTTAGGGAGATCTAGCAACGAAAGCATAACTTCTCTATGTAGCAGGTAGTCCCCACTGAGATCCGACAGCCCAAATTAAAGTGAAGGATCTACATATTTGATTTACTGTCTGGCGATATCCAATGAAGCCCAGTTGGTCAATGTATATGTAGCGCTCCAGGAATTGGATTTGATTACAGACAGACATTCTTCCAGTTCTAGGACACAGTAGACTGCAAATGACAATGGTGGCTCTCAAAAGGTGCAGCAGGGACCCTCGTCTCGTGTCCTACCTCCTGGGCCAGTTTCTCTGCTCTCTCACGCAGGTCCTTCTCCATTTCTAGGCTGTTCTGTAGATCTTCATATTCCTCCACCGCCAGGACAGACACTGCAGAAAAAACAGCCAACTGTCACAAAAACAGGCAACTGTCACAGAATCATGAACACTGCACTTTTGAGCATGGCATTAAGCTTCTGCACATGGCTGTACTGGACCTATGTCCCTATGGTTGCTGGTATTTTATAACAAGAGGCTGCAGTCCTACAGAGAACCATTGTAGAAAAAAAACACAGTAACTCTGTATTGATTTTCTAAAGATCTTATTCAAACCAAAAAAGAAAGCCAGTGACACTTTGTGAAATTTAAAAGCTGGCAAGTTTATTGCTTCTGACAAACGGACAAAGAATCTCCGCCTGTGACCTCCTACACTTACGCATTTCACCCACAAAACTGGACTTAATTGTAGAGGTCTACTTTTGAATCCCATGCAGTGCAGCCTGGCTCTTTTTTCTGCATATGGTTAGCAAACAGAGCATATGACAAGCCCCGGCCTAGCATTTGGGACTCAGTGCCTTCAGAGGGTGACCTGACTGATGGGCTTTTGGAGATACGCATCCATTTTCTTAGAAGTTACCTCCACCATTAGAAATCATTCAAGATTAAATGCAATGTTGAAGTGTCTGACCTTTTCTCAAGCCTGAGCATTGATCTCCGCTACAGAATATTTTCCAGCATAATAAATGCACAACTCTGACTATAGGACTAAAAAAATGGAAAAAAAAACACAAACTGTACAAATCTATAATTTGAAGCTTTAAAATGTTATCTATAAACTATAATCAGCCTTGACCCCATGAATTTTCAATCCAACGATTGTTGGCTGAACCAGCTCTAAGTGCCATGTCTCACCTGAAAACATTCTGGTGTTTTTCCTACACAATGTTTAGATGGGAATTTTTGGAACAAAAATAGAAAAGTCTGGCAGGAGAGGATGGTCTACGGATGTCCCTACCATTGATGGGAAAATCTGGCAATCTATTCTAGGGCAAGTTCCCTTGGTGTCCATGTCTCCAACCCAGAGATTGTTACAACTATTTGTCATACACTGGATCCATAGAACAGTGTTTTTTCAACCTTTTTTGTGCAAAGGCACACTTTTTTCATGAAAAAAATCACGAGGCACACCACCATTAGAAAATGTTAAAAAAAATTTACCTCTGTGCCTATATTGACTATATATAAAGTAATTCTCTTGAATAGGAATCAAACACAAAGAAATTATTTTATAATTACTTTATTATGAAATAATAAAGTATTTTATAATTGGACCCGGGGGCCGGACCAAGAGTAGATGAATGATGTGTATGTGTCATCCATAGTAAGTATAGTAATATTCCCCCATAGTAAGCATAGTAATTAATCCCCCATATAGTAATTCATCCCCCATAGTAATTAATCCCCCAAAAAGTAATTCATCCCCCATAGTAATTAATCCCCCATATAGTAATTCATCCCCCATAGTAATTCATCCCCCATATAGTAATTCATCCCCCATAGTAATTCATCCCCCATATAGTAATTCATCCCCCATGTAATTCATCCCCATAGTAATTCATCCCCCATATAGTAATTCATCCCCCATAGTAATTAATCCCCCTATAGTAATTCATCCCCCATAGTAATTCATCCCCCATATAGTAATTCATCCCCCATAGTAATTCATCCCCCATAGTAATTCATCCCCCATATAGTAATTAATCCCCCATAGTAATTCATCCCCCATATAGTAATTCATCCCCCATAGTAATTCATCCCCCATAGTAATATCACCCCCCATATAGTAATTCATCCCCCCTATAGTAATTCACCCCCCCATATAGTAATTCATCCCCCCTATAGTAATTAATCCCCCCTATAGTATGGCTTTCATCCCCCATAGTAATTCATCCCCCATAGTAATTCATCCCCCATATAGTAATTCATCCCCCATAGTAATTCATCCCCCATAGTAATTCATCCCCCATATTAATTCATCCCCCATATTAAGTCCCCAAGCCCCCCCTGTGTCAATTCACTTACCTTTGCTCCGCGCGTTCCTCTCGCCGTTCCGGTGTAGCATGAAAATCTGTCTCCTATGAGGATCTGTCCCCCTCGACGTATCTGCGCATGTGCCAGTTTCAGGCATTAGCAGCCGATCGGCGATCTCCGGCACATGCGCAGATACATCGAGGGGGACAGATCATCCTGACAGTATCACGCTCTGCGGGCCGGATTAAAAGGTCCGCCGGGCCGTATACAGCCCGCGGGCCGTAGTTTGCCCATTGCTGTTCTAATGATTGGTCTATTTGTGAGCCGAGGCCACATGTTACGGATGAAATTGCAATTTTTCCCACGGCACACCAGACATTATCTCACGGCACACTAGTGTGCCGCGGCACAGTGGTTGAAAAACGCTGCCATAGAACACCACATACTCTACACAGAAGGAGCTATAGAGACATACCAGACTGCCCTCATTTTAGGGGTTCCCAAGCAGACCATATGCATGTCTTTTGGAAGTGCCCCAAACTAGTGCGGTACTAGAGTACTATAATTACTACTATAATTAAGTATTTCAGGTGACTTTACATCATGATCCTTTGACATGTATATTGTAGGGTATCTAGATGAAGAACTTTATACTCCCCAAGTCAGGACTGTGATCACCGCCTTTTATTTTTGGTACGCAAATGTATCTTGTTGAAATGGCTTGCACAGTCACCCCCCACATTTGAGGACTGGCGCACGCAAGTTAATACAACATTATTGAAGGAAAAACAGAAATGGGGTACTCCCCTTAACTTTAATAAACTGTGCGATCCGTGGCTGCAGACTCCGGGTCTACCCCCCTAGTCCTTGTATCCCTGCAGCTACTGCAACTTTAGCAATACTATGATCCTACTCTCCCCTTAAATGAGGACTGTACCAGGGTGGTCTCAGACTACTTGATTGATGTAGGAAGTAAAGAGATGCTCCTTGTACGGCACATCAGCTCTTAACTGTAGGCTCAGAGATGAGCTAGCTTCCATTCTCTATTCTATAGGGTTAACTGTTTGTTACTTACATGTCATGCCTCACTGATCTATTGGCTATTCATAGTAGAAATGGTTCTCATCCATAATTAGCCTATCTGATATATGACAACCTTGCTGGTAGGATATGCTATACCGATGTCAGTTTCTTGCTTTGATTTTAGAACAATACAGTGTAAGTGTGATTACCAAGTATTATGAGAAGAATCAAGTACTTGACTTTAATGTCGTATTTTGTACTCATATGAGTCTTTGTTTTTTTTTTTTTTCTTTTTTGTTTGTTTTTGTTATATGTAAACTGATAAAACCTTTATTAAAAAGTTATTTAGAGAAAAAAAATAGAAAATATGATGGCAGAAAAAGACCAAGTGGTCCATCAAGTCTGCCTCTTTTTTAATTTTTTTTTTCTATTTTTTTGCTTTTCTATTTTTTCTTTTTTAACCTTTTTCTCGGAGTATAAATCTATGTTTGCCTTAAGTATGTTTAAATTCACTTGCTGCTGACTACCTTTCCTGGACGTCTGCTCCAAACATCAACTACTCTTTCAGTAAAAAGATACTTTCTAGGGTTAGTTTTGAATTTTTCTTCTGCAAGTTTGAGATCATGTGCCAGCGTTTTTGTATTATGTTGAAAATAATGCCATCCTTTCACAAACCTGCTTTTTCAATCAGTCGTTTAGACCACCTATGTGCGACTATGGGGCCTAGGAAGGGCCCTCTAGCACCTCATAGGCCCTGAATATTTACCGCTGCAAACATTTGTTCACCCTACTCTGATTGTTATTTCTATCAGATGTTTTAGCACTTGTATGGGTGTGCCTATTATTCCCCTCTAATGACGAATAAAAGTTATTGTAACAGAAACTACTGGTCTCCTGAAGCTTATACACCCTCTTAATGTTTTTAAAGGTTTCAATCATGTCCCCTATTACCCTTCATTCTTACATATTAAATTCCTGCTATATTTCCTGATAGCTTTTATTCCTGGGCCTTTTAACATTTTGATACTGATCTCTCAACTTGTTCTGTCTTATTAATATCCAAGTGATGTCTCCAGAACTGGACACCGTCCTCCTACTGATGATCCCTCTAATGACAACTATAGATCTATATAGGGGATACAGCACCTCCTTCCTCCTGCTGGAGATCCCTCCAGACAGAACGAAGATCTATATAGAGGATTCAGAACCTCCATCCTCCTATTGGTGATCTTTCTAGTGATAACTAAAGATATATATGGGGGAATCAGAACCTTCTTCCTCCTGCTGATGATGCCACTACATAAAGATCTATATAGGGGAATCAGGACCTCCTTCCTCCTGCTGGAGATCCCTCTAGTTATAATGAAGATCTATACAGAGGATTCACAACGAAGATCTACATAGAGGATTCAGCACCTCCATCCTCCTATTGGTGATCTTTCTAGTGATAACTAAAGATATATATGGGGGAATCAGGACCTCCTTCCTTCTGCTGATGATGCCCCTACATAAAGATCTATATAGGGGATACAGCACCTCCTTCCTCCTGCTGGAGATCCCTCTAGTTATAACGAAGATCTATATAGAGGATTCAGAACCTCCATCCTCCTATTGGTGATCTTTCTAGTGATAACTAAAGATATATATGAGGGAATCAGAACCTTCTTCCTCCTGCTGATGATCCCTCTAGTTATAACGAAGATCTATATAGAGGATTCAGAACCTCCATCCTCCTATTGGTGATCTTTCTAGTGATAACTAAAGATATATATGGGGGAATCAGAACCTTCTTCCTCCTGCTGATGATGCCCCTTCATAAAGATCTATAATCGGGGAATCAGGACATCCTTTCTCCTGTTGGTGATCACTCTATACAAATGATCAGTATAGTGGAACTTGTACCTCCTTCATCCTTCTGGTCATTCCCCTAGTGATGCACCCTAAAATTCCATTTGCTTTCCCCATTGTGATAAACATTGTTATCACTGCCGTGCATTCACAACACTTGTATAGAGGTTGTGGGAATTGCAGCGCCACAAGATGGATAGAGAGGGGAAGGCTGAGGGTGCAAGGTCTACCTTCAACAATGCAGGCCAGGAGGATAATGAACAGGGAAATTAGGAGGGTCCTTATAACTCCTCATCATGCCTGCAATCAACTCTGAAAAGCCAAACATGAGAAGTGGGCAGGAAGTGGCCAATCTCCAGAAACAAAACAAATAACACCCCCCTCCCTCTGATGGCTTCCAGGCCAGGGAGTGCACTGTGAAAGGAGCTTCTATCACTTCTGAAAATTTCGGGGCTTGCTGGCTGAAATGTGCAGCAATTAGCCTAAGTTTCTAATCCTATTAACCAATGAGCTGCTCCAGAGTCCAACCACAAACAGCCCCCCCACCTCCCCCGGCCAACGCAGCGAAAACACAGTCATTATAATCAGAGGCCATTGCGAGCTGCCAGCGCCTCTCCTTCCCCAACGCGGAGCATTAATATTCATGCCGCTTTTTCTTCAAAGGACTTTAATTGCTAATCAAAAGCCGGCAATTATTGAGGCAGAAATTCAGCAAAGCAGAAGAGACGTGTTAGCAAACAAGTCAAAAGTGTCATCCATGCAGTGCCAAGTGTTTAACTGGTGCAGGAACATGCCAACAGGTGGACGTGTCCCTTTATACCACGAGATGACTACAAAGTCAGGGCTGGAAGATGAAAAACACAAATATACAGGGAAAGGATGGGGATAAGAAGAGGTATATACTAAAAGCATGGAAATCTCCCCATTGTGGGAGGGGCAGAGACACAAACTGCAGGAAATCTCCCCATTGTGGGAGGGGCAGAGACACAAACTACTGCAGGGAAATCTCCCCATTGTGGGAGGGGCAGAGACACAAACTACTGCAGGAAATCTCACCATTGTGGGAGGGGCAGAGATACAAACAACTGCAGGAAATCTCACCATTGTGGGAGGGGCAGAGATACAAACAACTGCAGGAAATCTCCCCATTGTGGGAGGGGCAGAGACACAAACTACTGCAGGAAATATCACCATTGTGGGAGGGGCAGACACAAACTACTGGAGGAAATCTCCCCATTGTGGGAGGGACAGAGATACAAACAACTGCAGGAAATCTCCCCATTGTGGGAGGGGCAGAGACACAAACTATTGCAGGAAATATCACCATTGTGGGAGGGGCAGAGACACAAACTACTGCAGGAAATATCACCATTGTGGGAGGGGCAGAGACACATTACTGCAGGAAATCTCCCTATTCTGGGAGGGGCAGAAACAGGAACTACTGCAGGGAACTCTCACCATTGTGGGAGGGGCAGAGACACAGACTACTGCAGGAAATCTCACCATTGTGGGAGGGGCAGAGACACAAACTACTGCAGGAAATCCCATTGGGGAGGGCCAGAGACACAAACTACTGCAGGAAATCACCCCATTGTGGGAGGGGCAGAGACACAAACTACTGCAGGAAATGTCACCATTTTGGGAGGGGCAGAGACAAAAACTACTGCAGGAAATCTCACCATTTGTGGGAGGGGCAGAGACACAAACTACTGAGGAAATCCCATTGGGGAGGGCCAGAGACACAAACTACTGCAGGAAATCACCCCATTGTGGGAGGGGCAGAGACACAAACTACTGCAGGAAATGTCACCATTTTGGGAGGGGCAGAGACACAAACTACTGCAGGAAGGCTCCCCATTGTGGGAGGGGCAGAGCCACATACTACTGCAGGAAAGCTTGCCATCGTGGGAGGGACAGAGGCAGACTATTGAAGGGAAATCTCCCTACTGTGGGAGTGATGGAGATACAAACTACTGCCGAAAATGTCACAATTAAAGCCTGTGAAAGATGTCAGTAGGCAACTGACGCCAACACTGTAAAATAAAAATATCATGTCATCTTACCTCTGTTGTACTTTTCTAAAAGTTTACGCTGGTCAAAAACTTCTTTGGTCAGCATGACATTTTCTTTTTTGGTAGCATTCACCTAAAAAAAAAACAAAAACAAAAAACCATAAAATATGTGAGAACCTACGCTTGCTATAAGGCACTGTGTTGTAGTGGATCCCATCCCTTGGTATGAGACACTGAGAGGTCATGTGGGGCTCGTTTCTTTGATATGAGGCACTGTACGGTGGTTTGGGGTCTTTTTCTCCTTATGAGGCACTGCATCATGGATCTCTATGGAACACAGTGTACACTGAAGGATTCATAGTATTGGTGTGGAGTCTATTCCTCAGAATGATATTATGGAGTGCAAGAGTCACTATGTAGGGGAGGATGCCTCTTAATTAAATAAAATATTGACATTTTAATATAATTTTTATCTTTTCTCTCATTTTTGTTCTAGCTATTCAAAGCTTTGGTTTTGCCATTCCTTTGTCTGATTATTATCACATACAATTCATTTTACAGATTTTAACCAATTTATAAACTCTTAAACGTAACTTTTTTCATTTTAACTTCAATCTGAAACCTGTGATATTCGCTATAAGTCTGGTCATTTATCGGCTCCACTAATGTTACAGGAACATAGCTTTTTATAAGAGCTTGATTTTTGGTTTTATTTTTTTCCCACAATTTCCCCCCAAAAATGACACACATCAATCCATTCATAGAGAATGGAAAAAGAGTACAAGCACCATGCTATGAAGAAGGGGTATACCCCGACCCCAATCAGAGTCTGGAAGGCAGGAGTACCATGCTGTGAACTGTGCACCACCATTCATGTGCTAAGAAATTATGTGCAAAAACGTTGTAAGTTACAACCAGCCCACTCTGCACCGGGTCTCACTTATCTTTTTGGGGAGGATGCACTCACTCATGTGATCACACAGATCCAATCTAAATGATCCTCATGCAAGTAAAGAAAAAAAAGCCCTAAATAGATCTGGGTGCAGCCTCTCCCAGTTAGCCTTTTCTTTCTTGAGGGCCCTTCTAGAAGATTATATGGGCTGTTGGAAGAGGTGCAGTACTAATTAACCACAGAAATTCCAGACTGTATACCTGGGGTGAGAGGGGGATTCATATTGTTTTCTTTCAGAGACCTCATCTGCTTGTTATAAGAAAAGCACTGTTGTAAATTACCATATAAAACAATTAAAGGACTCAGAATATTATTTATGATTGCAGAAACTTGAGAATGACCCAATATACACATATGAATTAATGTGAACGGAAGAACCCAGTACAGTGTATAATTATCATATGATCCTCATATACAGCACCTCTTCTATGAGGTCAACAAGTCGGGATCGAAGCTCCTCCAGCTCTAGAGAGACAGACGACTTTTCCTCCTGGGCCGACAAGACCTGTTTCTGGAGATCTGCAAGATAAAAATATTATTACAGAGCTGCCAGGAGCTTAGAGTGGAATTACATCAGGACCTAAACTGATCTAAATCTAAAAAAAAATCTGGAATGTAAAATTTGGGTGAAGTTTCGCCACTCTGATGTCGCCAGCTCTCTTGCCCATCACCCACCTTCAGGAAAATGGCTTCCCTTCTTGATGATGTACCTGGCACAAGGATTTAATAGACGGAACCCAGAATAACTAGCATGTTGGTTGATCTTACAAATAACCTTGGGAACCCCGAATTAATAACCAAGTTCAGGCCCCAATATTGGACTAAACACACTCCTTGTCAATGCCATCCTCTACTCTGGGCAAAAGGAGAAAGGGCATGTATGGAATGTTGGAGTAATGCTATATACATAATGATTAGACCCTCCTGATCAGCCCTGTGTGCAGCAGAACAGTCTCCGTGTGCTAATGTTCTGTCTGTCTGTTTCGACAGACAGACAGAACAGTATCACACTGAGACTTGGTGGTCCAAGTGCAATGACATGCTGACATTTGGAATCCCAAAACAATGACACACTGATACTTGACAGTTCCAAAAACAATGAGACGCTAATAATTGAGGTCCCAGAAAAATGAGACACTGACTCATGGACATATAGACATTTGGGGGTTCAGAACAATGTCACCTTGAGACTTGGGGGTCCCAGAACAATGGCATACTAGCACTTGGGGTCTCATAACAATGCAAAATTGATACTTGGAGTCCCAGAACAATAACAGACTGACACTTGGGGGTCCCCCAAAAAAATTGAGAAGCATTTGGGAGGTCCAGAACAATGACACACTAACACTTGGAGGGCCTGAAAAAAATGACATACTGACAATTACTCCCTCACCTTTTATTTTCTGTTGACAGTTAAGTGACGGGCATACTCCCCCACTGTCGCTTTCGGAAGAGGTGTCTTCGTCATCCAGGTTGATCTCTTCAGTAATGAGATCTGGACCTAGTTTGGCCATGTACAACATGCTAATCCGTTTCAGATTCTTGTTTTGCTTGTTCAGCTGGAGGGGAATAAACACAAAATGAGATTTATCAACAAAGCTCTGTTCATGGCACCCGGTCCTCCACACAAAGGGCTCCAGAGGTCACCTTCAACAAAGAACATTTTCTGAAAAATGTTTTTGTTCCATATGTGGAAATGAAGACCTCATCTGAAGCTGTAACACCGCGGAAGAAGGATTTCATCATAATGAAATACATACCCCCAAGAATGGAGATGGGACACCACGGTCCTCCTATAGATTAACTCCCAGGACCGCCATCACCCCCCGGGGAGGAATCACGGATGACGATGCAATGAGTGGGAGACATAACATTCTCCAAGCTAGCTGTCCTCCACACAACAATGGCAGTTATTAAGCTCTCGATCCTGCTGCCCACACACAGAAATATTGTGACCAGCCTGCCATCCTGACCAGCCGTACCACAGAAGAAATCAATCTATTCTGCTTACAAATACACTGCCACTCCATGGGGTTGTTTTACTAAAACCGAAGAGGGCAAAATCTAGTGAAGCTGTGCATGGTAGCCACTCAGTTTCTAACTTCAGCTTAAGATGGGAAATACTAAAAATATGTTGGGGAATTATTCTTATTGGGTGATGATTTATTAATGAAAGCCAGCATGACTAGCTGCTGATGTGTCAAATGAATTTGTGGCTGAACCATATATTCTGTCGATGACCTCTGATTATTCGGTGGCTTATTTTAGGTTTTGACTTTTAGGAAGGGAGTGTGGAATGAGGAAAGAAAGGAAAGAGTGACAAGATAAAGTTGGTAGTCACATATCTGTAGTTCAGGCACTGCTATGGCAAAGGTGAGGCACTCAAGCACAACACAAGAGCAAAATGTATTACCATTCCTACCTGTACCTTTACCTTTCCTTGGCTTCATGTTGCACTGACTCTCCCTGCTCTACACCTAACAATTCTGAAAAGGTCCAAGTCTACACTATTGTGTCTAACCTGCGGTCCAAGATGGCTATGAATGCGGCCCAACACAAAATCAGAAATTTACTTAGAAATGTTGATTTTTGGGGGGAACTTCTTGTAAAAAAGTGTTTACAGTTAGCAAACACATACAGCTGAAGAACAATTTGACAGATTCTTTTTACTGGACCTTTACTATAAGTTTTATTTTCTCAAAGAAAAATCTCCCACTCTTCACAATCACGCCTTAATCATGTCATCAATTTTAAGTAGCATCTATATATGTGAGCAACTATTTTCAAGGATAACGCACACGAAGGACAAAATTAGATCCAAAATATCTGATAAGCACCTTGAGAATCCGTTGAGAATTGCTACTCCATCCATCCAACTGCTTATCAAAAACAGTGTCAAATATCGGACTAGTTTTATGTATCCCTCTTTTACTCTTATAATAAAAAATACTAAAAAAAATTAAGTTTTATTACTCAGATAGGTACATTATCTACATCAGTGATCGTTAACTTGAGATCTGCCCGACTTTTTATGCTCATCAGCTATCCTTATTGTTAGTGTATTTTATGTGTGGCCCAAGACAATTCCTTTTCTTCCAATGTGGCCCAGGAAAGGCAAAAGGTTGGACAGCCTGGTCTACATTCATACTGGAGTCAGCACCTCCAACCTCCAACCTTTTTTTTTTTTACACTTTTTTGTAGGTTTGTGCATGCATTGTTTGTGTTTTTTTAGACTTGTGCATTTTGTTTTAGCAACTGGAAAACTAGTTACTAGGAGGAGGAGGAGAAGGTTGTTCGGCACTAAATTACTACCACGGAAGTCTGCTGGGACCCAAAACATGCAATCATGCCAACAAGAGCCCTGTACTTTTTCCAAGTGTTGAGCGATAGCACATCACTCAGATGAGTATGGGCACAACACAAAAATATGGATATCCAAGTGTCAAGCGTTGAAGTGCCCCTGGAAATGGGCTTTAAATAGCTTGGTGTGTGGGCTCATTCAAAAAGAAAAAGCAGGGCATCCAACAAGCAAAAAAACCTTATTGTAACATAATGAGTTTTCAACATCAGATCCAAGCACATTGCCTTCAGCAATACCATGCTCCTTCACTGACGTTTTTCTCTCCAGCCAGGACTTTTCTCCTACTGAGGTGAAATGTGTCAAAGGAGAAGCAGCAGCAGGGTCTGGTAGAGGGCAATGTGCTTTGACTTGATATTGGGACCTTGTCCATGTTACAATAAAGTTTGTTGAGAAAAGGAAAGACGATATGCAGCTTTTCCTATTTAAATTTATTGGAGAAGGACAGACCCTATATATAGTTAGCACCCAAAGTTGGTGCAGGTGAGCCAGAAGACCACATGGAGCAGTATTTTTTTCCCTACTGAATCTGTAGAAGCAGTTGGGTATTAAACGTTCAGCCAATCAGCAGGGGTTCTGAGGTAGACACCCTAACCAATCAACTGGAGGGGAACGGGAGGTATGGAGGGCAACCAGTTAAATTCTATATCTGCTTGTTGGAATTTAGCAGCCAATAGTCTACTGTTCCCAGAATATGACCACAAAAGTCTCTGTGCTGGCTGAGGACATCTCGCAGTGGTCGGACTCTCTGTAGACCTCCTACAGCAGTACTAAAGAATATCTAAAATGTTAAAAAACTAAAGCTCCCAATGATCACCTCCTGAAAGTGATAGCTGCCTGGTGGTCAAGATAATCTCTCCGGCGTCAATGCTTTCAGAATCATTGACCTAAAATGTGCAGATCCTCTACTTCCGGAGTTAATATCCCTAGTTGTGTGCCCTCTCGTTATCCCACCGTAAGCAATCAGCTTTCTCTATAGGAATTCTAAAAAAACAAGCGGCAATGAGCACAGAAATTTCTAACGTATGGGGAAGGCAGAGCTGCGATTTCCTTGCTCGCTATGCCATGTCCAGAATCGCTAATGAAATTTGGCTGAAAATTGCTGTAATCTCTTCCCAGATGAAGTGGCCGCAATGCATTTTACACCAGCAAAACAACATAAAAAGAGCGATAAAAACATTCTTTAATAATAATACAAGTCTGATGAGATGGAGGCGAGAAAATGACACACTTGGTAAATTCATCAGCCCTGCGGTAATCAGCAGTACACAGGGAGGTCAGCGCCTCCCTCCGCCTCCTGTTTGTTTTCATAAACAATCAGCGGCGAATCTCCGGCTCCTCTCGCTCGATTGAAAACACTGAAATGATGCTTCCCATTCAGCCAAGACTATATTTTATTTTTTGTCTTCTTCACTCTGTGTAGATTGCCAGCTATTTAATCCAGATGCTCAGGAGGTATTAAGTAGGGCAGAACAATGGAAGTAATCTCGCAAGATGACACAGTTTCTGTAGAGACGCTCGTTATGGCGACAATCATTCTGTGGAGACAAAATGCAGCCCTGGGCAAAGATAGAATTACTGGGGGCCATTTTTCAGAAACAAGGGGCCCAATTTACCACTCGGGTATAGGCCATATTGGATTTTAAGCTGCCAGTCTCAAACAAACATCCCAATATTTTTTCTTTTTTTCAGTTGATTTAGGAACTTCTATAATCACCTTGTTCTTCTATAGCAGCCCGTCTCAGGTAGGGTTCCATGAAACCCTAAGGCTTCTCCAGAGGTTGCTGGGGGGTTTCTTTGAGCGGTAGCAGATTGACGTTCCATCCAAGGCTACAGTCACACTGGTATGAATTGTAGTGGAAGGAATCTTCATGATTCCTGGTGCAGCCTAAGTGGCTAGGTGGGCCACCAGCCCATTTACTATGATGACAGGTCACCAGCGGCCGCAAGTATTCACAGCTATCCGCACAGCCAGCGATTATCGCTGCTGGATACACACAATTTGCACCGCTGTGAATTTAGCCTTAGATGGAAAGTCAATATACAACCGCTCAAATAGAACCGCTAACAACCTCTGGAGAGTACAGCTACACCAAGCCATTCAGTCGCATTAGGAGTCAGAAGATTCCTGCCACTACATTTTGCACCGGCCTAAATCGCCAGTGTGAATGTAGCCCAATGGTGCCTGCATAGTTGTGGGGCCAAAGTCACTTGGCAAAATCAATGGTACGACATCAACGATCTCTTTAGCATTCTTCCCACTGAGCACAAATACACTCACCGGCCACTTTATTAGGCACACCTGTTTAATTGCTTGGTAACACAAACTGCTAATCAGCCAACCACTAAGTAGCAACTCAATGCATTTAGGCATGAAGATGCAGTGAAGACTACTTGCTGAAGTTCAAACCAAGCATCAGAATGGGGAAGAAAGGAGATTTAAGTGACTTTGAACATGGCATGGTTGTTGGTGGCAGACGGGCTAGTCTGAGTATTTAAAAAACTGCTGATCAACTGGAATTTTCAGGCACAACCATCTCTAGGGTTTACAGAGAATGGTCCGAAAAAAGAGAAAATATCCAGTGAGCGGCAGTTGTGTGGACAAAAATGCCTTGCTGATGTCAGAGGGGAATGGGCAGACTGGATGCTCCGACATTCAGATGGTAGGGTCAGAATGTGGCATAAACAACATGAAAGCATGGATCCATCCTGCCTTGTATCAACGGTTCAAGCCGGTGGTGGTGGTGGTGGTGTAATGGTGTGGGGGATATTTTCTTGGCACTAGCAAGGAGTACCTAATAAAGTGGCCAGTGAATGCATATGGGGCATTCTTCCTCTTATGACCACAATGTAAGGATGCCCTTCTTCTGCTCGACCCTAATGAAATGGTGCATCCTTTTCACGGTCTACCAATATAATCGGTATTCTCTCGCGGAGCACTGATTTGAGAAGGCACCTCTCTCACTGAGCATAAGGTAAGGGTGCCTTTTTTCACATTGACCATCAATGTAAGAGAGTCTGTTGCTTTTTAAGACTTCATAACATTTTTCTATTTGAATTTTTTGATTGTTACTGAAAATTATTTAGAGCAGGTGCGGTTAAAAAATATTTTCCAAATACTCTGGGTATGCCACATTTTTTTTAATTCTTTTTCTTATTATAAATTCTTGATCTTACAGTTGAACTCTACATTTTACATAT